AATCCATTTCTTTGCCAATCTGATTTTCCATTCTCCCTGATTCAACAGGCATCCAGTGTTCCATTGTCACTAAGCATGCACAGCCCCCAAAGAGCTGTTTTTATTTTACCTTTATTGTGATTTATTATTAACATTTATATATGGATTTATCTGCTGAAAAGCCATCAAGGTGGTGAAAAACAATTTTAAATACAATAAAAAGTTTTAAAAGACAAAAAGAATAAAGCACTGTATTAAAACAGTTTATTACTAGAAACTGTGGTTGATCATTCAAGAAGTTCTCTTGAAATAAGGGAGCCTTATAGTTAATAGGGCAGGCAAAAAAATCAAATAAATAAATAAAGGTACTTCTAGGAGGCCCCAGAGCCAGCATAAGGTTGGCGCCTGCCTCCAGAGGCATGGATTGCCATGGAAATATTATTATTATTATTATTATTATTATTATTATTATTATTAAAACATTTTTATGCCGCCCCATTCGCCGAAGCCTCGGGGCGGCTTACAACAAAAAAATAAAATAACATTTTAAAATACATACAATAAAATACAAATATATAATATAAAACATACACTATAAAACAAGCCGCCCTGGCCAAATAAAATTCAATAATATTAACATTTAAAATACTGCTTAAATAAAAAGGTCTTCGCCTGGCGCCGAAAAACAAATAACGACGGCGCCAGGCGGACCTCTCTGGGGAGCGCATTCCATAACTTAGGCGCCACCGCAGAGAAAGCCCTCCTCCGAGTAACCACCCTCCTAACTTCTTCCATGGAGGGCTCCCGGAGAAGGGCCTCTCCCGCCGATCTCAGGGGGCGGCTGGGCATATAAGGATGTAAGCGCTCCTTCAGGTAACCAGGACCCAAGCCGTTTAGGGCTTTATAGGTCATAACCAACACCTTGAATTGGGCCCGGACTTCAATGGGAAGCCAGTGAAGCTGACGGAGAACTGGAGTCATGTGAACATAACGTCCAGTCCCCGTCAGCAGCCTGGCAGCTTTATTTTGGACCAATTGAAGTATCCGGACCGTCTTCAAGGGTAGCCCCACGTAGAGCGCGTTACAGAAGTCCAAACGGGAAGTCACCAACGCATGTGTCACTGTCGCAAGGCAGTCATTCTCCAGATAGGGGCGCAGCTGATGAATTAGCCGAAGCTGGAGGAAAGCGCTCCTCGCCGCTGCTGTTACCTGAGCTTCCAGTGAAAGCTCTGGGTCGAGGAGCACTCCCAAGCTGCGGACCTTGTCCCTAAGAGGGAGTGCAACCCCATTCAGGACAAGGTTCAATTCACCCTCTCCGAAGCCCGATCCGCCAACCAACAGGACCTCCGTCTTGTCTGGATTGAGCTTCAGTTTATTGGCCCTCATCCAGCCCATTACCTCGGCCAGGCACCGGTTCAGCACAGCCACTGCCTCACCTGGATTGGTGGAAAACGAGAGGTAGAGCTGGGTATCATCAGCGTACTGATGGTTCCGCAGCCCACACCTCCTGATGACCTCTCCCAGCGGTTTCATGTATATGTTGAACAGCAAAGGGGACAAAATGGACCCCTGCGGTACTCCATGGCATAGCTGCCATGGCGCAGAGCCATAGTCCCCCAGCACCACCTTCTGGAACCGGCCATTGAGATAGGAGCGGAACCACTGCAAAGCAGTGCCTCCAACCCCCAATCCCGCAAGCCTATCCAGAAGGATACCATGGTCGATGGTATCGAAAGCCGCTGAGAGGTCCAGAAGAACCAACAGGGACGCACTCCCCTGTCCTTCTCCCTGCACAGGTCATCGTACAGGGCGACCAAGGCAGATTCAGTACCGTACCCGGGTCTGAAGCCGGACTGCAGTGGGTCCAGATAATCAGTTTCATCCAAGAGTGCTTGGAGTTGTCCCGCCACCACTCGTTCTAACACCTTGCCCAGAAACGGGATGTTGGCCACTGGTCTATAATTAGTGGCCATCTCTGGATCCAGTGACGGGCCTTCTTCAGGACCGGTTGGACTACCGCCTCCTTCAAAGGGGCAGGCACCCGACCCTCCCTCAGAGAAGCGTTAACCACTTCCAAGATCCAGGTTCCAATCCCGTGCTTGGAATCATTTATTAACCAAGACGGGCAAGGGTCCAAAAGGCAAGTGGTTGGACGTACTCGCCCAAGCACCTTGTCCATATCATCGGGCCGCAATAACTGAAATTCATCCAATAAATCTGGACCAGACGGCAGCGTTGGTGTCTCCTTTGAAACCTCTGAATCAATAGTGGTGTCCAGCTCGTGACGAATCTGAGCGATTTTCTCCCTGAAATGCCTGGCAAAGTCGTCACAGCGGGCCTTTGAGGGTGGAATCAGGTCTTCCTTTGGACCTGGACGGACCAGGCCTTGCACCACTCGAAAGAGCTCCGCCGGACGGCATTGTGAGGAGGCAATGGAAGCGGAAAAGAATCTCTTTTTTGCCGCCCTCACCGCCACAGCATAGGCCCGATAGTGGGCTCGTAAGTGTGTTCGGTCAGATTCATCTCGTGATTTCCTCCACCTATGCTCTAGTCGTCTCCCAACCTGCTTCATCGCCCTCAATTCAGGAGTATACCAAGGGGAAGAGCGGGCTCTGCCCGGTGGGAGAGGACGCTTAGGAGCGATCGTGTCTACAGCCCTGGTCATCTCCCCATTCCACAGTTCGACCAGAGCCTCGACAGGAGCACCCGTCTTGTCAGCCGGAAACTCCCCCAGGGCCTTCAGGAATCCTTCTGGATCCATCCGGCTCCGGGGGCGGACCCACATAATCGGGTCCGCACCCTTACAGAGGGAGAAGTCGCTCTCGAGCATAAACCTCACCAGGAAGTGATCTGACCATGACAGGGGAGTCAAGCATAAATTACTCACCCTCAGACCACCCTCTTCCTGCCCCGTCGAGAAAACCAGGTCCAGAGTGTGTCCCCGTTCATGGGTGGGGCCGGTGACATGTTGAGACAGCCCCATGGCCGTCATGGAGGCCATGAAGTCCTGAGCCGCCCCGGTCAGACTAGCCTCGGCATGGAGATTGAAGTCCCCCAGGACCAACATCCTGGGGGTCCTCAACACCAGGTCCGAGACAGTCTCCGTCAGCTCAGGCAGGGAGACTGTTGGGCAGAAGGGTGCGCGGTACACCAACAGAATCCCCAGTCTGTCTCGGTCGCCCAACACCAAATAGAGACACTCCAGCCCTGGTCTCGAAGGGACCGGAAGTCCCGTGAGGGAGATGGAGGCTCGGTAAACCAAAGCGACCCCCCCTCCCCTCCCCTCCGGCCGTGAGCAGTGCTGGACCAGATACCCGGGCGGGCACACTTGGGAGAGGGCAACATCCCCCCCCCTCCCGCCCAGGTCTCCGTTATGCAGACCAGGTCGGCCCCCTCATCCACAATCAGGTCCTGGATGAGGGCAGATTTGTTATTGACTGACCTGGCATTAAGCAACAGCACCGTCAGGCCGGAGGGGCGACTGACGAGACTCCCTGGCACCCTCTGGCTGGGAGCAAAACCAGAAGTAGGGACAGGTGTCAGCCATCTGTCCCTCCTTCTTCTATGCGGACACGTTAAGCTCCCAACGCTGTTACGTCCCCTGCCCATAACCACCTCAATGGCGGCACCCGTGCGCTCCCCAGGAAACATAAGCGGCAGCATGGCCAGGGACGACTCCATAAAAAGATTTAAAATACTACTAAAAACACACACAGTTGGTGTTCAATATACCCAAAACACTGAAGGTTCTTTTCCAAGGGTACTTCAGTTGGATGAAAGGTCCATACAGAACTATCACGTATATCTGATGACCTCAGAGGCTGGGCAGGCTGATAAGGAGGACGGCATTCTCTCGAGTATCCTGGTCTGATGTTGTATAGGGATTTATAGACTAGTATAAAATCTTAGTAGCAAAACCTTAAATCTGACCTAGTAGCAATTAGGCAGTGAGTACAGTGCCCTCAATTAGATGCTGAAAAGGGACAGCTCTGGACAATACCCTTGGCTCTGCATCCTGCAGGAGATCCAGCTTCCAGATCAACGATGAGGGAAGGCCCATACAAAGTGCACTGCAGCAATGCAGTTTTGAAATTACTAGTATCTATACCACTATAGTCAAGTTATGCTTGTCCAGGAGAGGTGTTAGGTGGCAAACTAGTCGAAGCTGGTAAAGGTCCTCTGACCTGCCATGGTTACTTGACATCCCCTCAACAATGATGGATCTAGGAGTAACTTCCGAGTGTACGGCAACGACAATTTCTCATGCTAATCACCTCAAGTAAAATGAAATCTTTCATTAATTTTCGTCTCTTGCAGTTAATTGCCATCCAGAGACCTGCAGTGTATTGGATGGGGTAAAAATACCCAAAGAAATGAATAATGCTGAAACAGTAGTTCTTCTTTAATTATAATTAATTTGCAATGGTGTATAAAGCAGTCAGTGGCTGATAGTCTTTTCATGATCCCTTTTCTCCCACGCATGAACATCCAATACTTAAAAATGGCACCAAACTGATCAAAAGAGTACTAATCCAAAAGCAAGCCAAGGGCAGATTAAGGCCGTCACTCCCCAGTAATTTCCCAATTTCCACTAAGATGGTGCTTCAAAATATAATGACTTCCCACTAAGTTGATTACTTAATTCTCCATTCATCAAGTAGCTTCATTTGCAAAAAAAAGTGGTACAACGTTTTGTTTAACCAAGCATATCAAACTGCTAGATGGGAGAAGTAAGTGTTTGAGAATGGGGAGAAGAGGTATTAGAAGGGGCCAAGTAGGTATAATTACTTCAGAATTACTATTGTATTCATGTGAAAATGTGGGCAGATTTAACATAATGAATTAATTGATAGAATGATGGACTAAGTTTTCTTTAACCATAAGACAGCTCTACTTTAGAGACATACATTTTAGTCTTGGGTAACCCCAAAATAATAAACAAACTCTGAAGTGAAAATGTTTTACTGCATTTGCCATACTTCAATGAGAATGACCAATATTATATATTTTTTTTTCCACAGGGACATCAAGCCAGACAACATCCTGATGGATATGAATGGACATATTCGGTTAGCAGATTTTGGTTCTTGTCTGAAACTGATGGAAGATGGAACGGTAAATTAGAAAAAATCAATTAAAATATAGTGTTAACAATCTTTTATTTCTGTCATTTGCTGAGGCAGTTTCTGGTTTTATATCTTAGAATTAAAAAACCATTCATGGCTATAACATTTTCATTTTAGTGAGAATTTTTTTAGTATAAAAGAGATTATGTTAAATGTCCTTGCTGGGTAAGTGATGCGATTCATTCACTTTGCACATTCAATCTATTTCCCCACAGCCAAAACAATCCCCCTTTACAGAATGATTTCCATATTAAGATTTGTTAAGTCTTGTTGATTCACTCCTGTGACTGCTGTATTCTTTAGCAAAAACTCTGTAATTATACAAAACTACCACTAAAATAAATGTTGAGAAAAATAGTGCTTATTTGCACCATTTTTGTAAAGTATACTTGAATACAGAACTAGGATTCCTCATGACAGAATTTCAGTGTCATTAATGTAGAACTGGCAACATGCATATATATGACAGTGGGGTGAATGGAGGATAAGAAGGAACAATTCCTTTGTGTAACCTGACTTAGCCATTTATTTGTGCCAAGTGTGAAGGGTCAGCATTGCCCTTGCAATGTGACTAGATACAAGCAAGTGGCAAGGGAAGCCAGAGGTCTCCCTATAGTTTAAGCATCCTTCGAATCTCTGTATCAACTGTGGGACTGATGCTGATAGGCCAAGAGCAGAGAACCAAGTATGGATTCTGATCAGGAGTGTGTGTGTGGGTGGGGGCGGGGTGTATTTATGTTTTGGACTATGTTGTTGCCACTTAATGCATGTTTGGAGCAGCTACTGGGATGAGGGGTTTTAACCCTTACTCCCACTAATTGCATCTTTCTTTGCTTTTTGCATGCAGCCGTACAGTGGCTACGTATATGGCTACTATGTGGTAGATGGTAACTTCCAGAGCACTGCTGCAGCAGTGATAGTATGCTGGTACAATCTGTCAATAATTCCATCTACAGAAATGATACCTGGCTGAAAACCCTTACTGTGGTGGTGGTCCCTGAGAAACAAAGGGCTTGTCCTTGATAATGTAGTATGCTGAGAACTTCCTTTTACACGCTCTTATGATAGTAAATGACAACCCAAACCTTATCTCATGAAGTTAATGGTGCAAAGAGAAACTTGAGTATAGCAGTTGACATCATATCCCAGTCCTTCACACAGATTTCACAGTAGTTAAAAGAGTATTCATACATGATACTCACTGCCTTGTGATAGTGCAGCTTTGTGTGCCTTCATATTCTAAACAGCATGAAATAACCTTTTTCCATTATTACCCCAACAACCTTTATCTCTTAGTACTTTGCTTTCTGTAATCAAACACCTTGCCTAATAAATGCTCATTGAGTGCATCAGAAAATAAGTCTTGGTCACTGCTCCTTGCAATGTCTGGCACTGTTGAGAAGAAATAAAAGACTGTAGGAATATGGAACCTGTCTTTATTTCAAAGATAGTAAAGTAGGTAATAGTGTTGTATAGTGGTTAGAATGCAGGATGGGCACTTAGAAGATCTAGGTCCTTACTCCCATTTGGCCATGAAGCTCACTAGATGACTTTAACCTAGCCACCTATTTGCAAGATCATGTATGTTGCCTTGGGGTCCTTGACGGTAAAACAGGATATAAATGTAGGCAATAGGTAAATAAATACACTCCAAAAGAAAATGCTAAACCCCCTGCCATTTATTAAGTCAGTAAAGCTGCTCAGAGTTCTGAATTTTTCACCAGGCAAACCATCTTGCCTGATGAAAAGTTCTGAAGAGCATGAAAATATGCGTTGTTTTGTCAACTCTGGGTTGGTTTTATATTTTTTTATTCTGGTAAAAGGATTTTATTAAAGGACTTTTCTGCAAAACTGGGGGATTTTCCTTCTGCTGTGCATTAACCTTTTTTGGCTTTGATTTTGGATAATACATACTGCTAATAAATGAGCTCCTGGTGAGCAGGAAAAGTGTTGATATTTTATACCTGAGCTGCCTGCTACCATAATGTGGGCTGCTAGAATGCTTTTTCTTTTGTCTCCATCTACTCATTATTTGAAATAGATATGTACATGTTCCTTTGCATACAGAAATATAGCATTATAGATCATTTTAGTCATGGAAATGATAATCCCTGTAGGTTCAATCTTCAGTGGCAGTTGGAACACCTGACTACATCTCACCAGAGATCCTGCAAGCCATGGAAGATGGCAAAGGGAAGTATGGTCCTGAATGTGACTGGTGGTCGCTTGGTGTCTGCATGTATGAAATGCTTTATGGAGAAACACCTTTTTATGCAGAGTCCCTGGTGGAGACCTATGGAAAGATAATGAACCACAAAGTGAGTGTTCATGTTGACAACTCCTGGAGTACCTACAATTCTTCTGTTCAGTGCTTTATCGTTCTGGAGTTATTGCATTAATCTTTTCATTGATAGAACACATTAGCTTTAATTCACTATGGACTTACCTTTAATTGCTTCAATATTATTGAATTCTATCCTTGGGTAAAATAGCAAGTTCAGTGTTATATTTTACAGCATCATCCTGTTCTGCATAAAATAATCAAAAACTTGTAACTTGCTAATGATGGAGGCCTTTAACTGCTGCATGCAATTATATTTTGGTCACATTAACAAGTCTGAAAGCAATTGTTAGAATTAATTAAATAGCAGTATGATTGAATGAATTTTAATATAATTATAACTAAAAAGGAATTGCATCGGAAATGGATTTTTGAATTTGCTGTTTTCCCTTTAAGAAGTCCAACCAGTCACTGAGCCTGCAATCTTAAACATTCTTACTAGGGACTAGTAAGTACCATTGAACAGAGAGGGAATAAGCATTCAGAAGACTGTACTGTGTCCTTGTATATACACTCACTGATTTAGCTTCACTGATAGTTAATAAGTTTTATGTGGTTTTGTGCTGCAATCATAAGGAAATGGAACAGCAAACTACAATTTCTCAGTGTGCACTGATTTTCCATGTCTTCTTCTTCTTGTTCTTAAAGGAGAGGTTTCAGTTTCCTGTGCAAGTGACAGATGTATCTGAACATGCCAAGGACCTAATTCGAAGGCTTATCTGCAGCAGAGAGCATAGACTTGGGCAGAATGGAATAGAAGACTTTAAAAGCCACCCATTTTTTTCAGGGATCGACTGGGATAATATTAGAAACTGTGAAGCACCTTACATCCCTGAAGTCAGCAGTCCAACAGATACATCAAATTTTGATGTAGATGATGATTGTTTAAAGAATTCTGTAAGTTATATATAAGAGCAATTTCTCTCAAATTACATTTAATAAAAATTATTGTCAACTAGCGGGTATGCTAGTGCAAGAAGAATGATCGCTCCAATTGCGAACAGGAACAGTTTAACAAACCATGGACCTTCTAAACAAATCATGGGAAAAAACTATAGTTCTTTGGGTCTTTTTCTGGCTTACCTGGTTCCTGGTACACATGTAACACTAATGAAATTATGGATGGCAGGCCCATGGTTTGTTGAGCCACTCATGTTTACAGTAAGAATATGAGCATGCTGTCTTGTTCATTAAAACACAAATTCTTTTTTATTTTAAAAAATCTAGTTCATCATTATGTGTGAACTAGGCCCATATATCTGTCCATGTATACAGATGAGCAAATACTTGCTTTATGCTGTAAATTCAGTGGCAATTTCTGGCAGTCAGGATGTTATGACTTACAATTCCAGTCAGTCCTCAGCATGGATAATGGAGAGGGTTGATAAGAGTTACAGTGAGACAAAAAAAGATCCAGAATACCACAATTTGCCCACCTGCACAATAAATAAAAAGGTAAAGGTTTCCCCATGACATTAAAGTCCAGTCATGTCTGACTCTTGGGGACGATGCTCATCTCTGCTTTCTAGCCAAGGGAGCCAGCATTTGTCCGCAGACTGTTTCCAGCATGACTAAACACTGAAGTGCATGGAATACTGTTACCTTCCCACCTAAGCGGTACCTTTTTATCTACTTGCATTTGTATGCTTTCAAACTTCAAGGTTGGTAGGAGCTGGGACGGAGTACAAGAGCTCACCCTGTGTGCGGATTTGAACTGTCAACCTTTCACTCAACCAGCCCAGTGGCTCAGAGGTTTAACCCACTGTGCTATTGCATCCCCTGCACTATAAATACTTTCAAAATAAATTTAGGTTTTTACAGAACAGCCAGCATATAGTCAAGAGAAATACTAAAAAAAATAAAGTTTTAATGCACACACACATACACCCATTTTCTTTTTTTGGAAGTTTGATAAATCCTGAATTGCAGTGACTGTTCAAAACAGTAACAGCATTTTTTCTTAAAGCTCGCCCTCCTGCCCATCTGGATGAGAGAGAACATTCTCAGACACAGGGAAACTAGATGTCAAGAATGTGAGCCAAAGCTTTGCTTAGCTGGTCACAGGTTCTTGAACTCCCTGTCAAGGCAGGTCTAGTTAGCTCCATCTTTGCTATTGTCATGATCTTCTTCCTAGTTACTCATGCTATATATTTGAGAAGTAGGTGCTGATGGAAAAGCACTGCAGTGTTCTAAAGGTCCAGGAAAGGCAGCTGCATTAATTATATGGTATTGTTTCTTGCTCAAGGATGGTAGCTTTCTACCAAGCGAGAGAAGCGTTGTAGTGTTTTTATTCCTTTATGTCCTAAGGCAGATTGCTATTTTCTCTAATAGAACATTTAAATGGCTAATTTAATTTATTCAAATACATCAAGTTTCTTCATAGTGAAATTTTAATTTTCATGCCTGCTGTTTTACTCCTCAGGAGACAATGCCCCCACCAACACATACTGCATTTTCTGGCCATCACCTGCCATTTGTAGGCTTCACATACACAAGTAGCTGGTGAGTTGAAGTCTTACATTTCAGAGAAGGCTGGATACATTAATGTTGCAGAAATGTAATTTCTTTTTACCGTTTGTATAAACATTTAGAAACAAACAACAGTTACAGTTTTATAAGCAAAATGCACATTCCAAAGAAATGTTATTTATAGTTTCAGTTTGAATGTGAACATGTGCATTCTTTTCAGTTATGTTCCTTGAATAACAGGTGAATACAAAATACTGTATTTTGTAAAGTATTTGTTGTTTTCCTGGATGAAATCAGAACTAGATGATTGTTATCCAGTTTTTAAAAATGTTAATACAAAATGTGCATTTGTCTTCTGGAAGTGCTGCTCTGTGCAGCCAAGGCAAAGGAGAGAAACTTGGAACAGTGTGCTTTGGATGGGGGCTACACTCCCCTGAAGACTTGGGTATATTCAGTTTGGTATACTTCTGGACTCATCCCTATGCCTGGTTATCTTGTTTTTGGCTCTGCTCAGGAGTATAGCAAGTGCACCAGTCCCTTGATTACATTTGTCCTGAACGTAACAACTCAAATCTTAGTTACTTCCCCTTTGGATGACTTTTACAAACTCTGCTTTTAAAAAATAGGTCTGGGTTTGAAAAGTATTCAAAAACATAAGCCGGCCCCTAATGTGGCCACCAAACTGTTGACTAAGGCCAGTTATAAGGAGTGTTGAATCCCTTGGGAATGTTATGGTCCTAGAAAGCCCTACACTATTTAAGCCCAACACTGTTTGAAAGACCATATTGTCTTATATCAGTCTGCCCAGGTATTAAGAGCCTTTTTTCTGTCCCACCATTAGCAGATTCACATGTGGCAAGAACATGACACATGTGGCAAGAACATGAGACAGCTGTGAGTTCTTGATGGCTAGTCACAGATTTTTGAACTCCCTGTGAAGGCAGATCTGGTTAGCTCCATCTCCGTTAACTCTCCATTTTTATTCAGACAGAGTGCTAACATTTGAAGTACTAAGTTTTAATTGGGTGGGTGCTGTTTTCTCCTTGCTGATATGTGTTTTTTTATTTTTTTTATTGGAATGCTTTTATAATTTATGAGCTTTATAGCACTATCCAATGTGGCTGACTACAATTCTCTGAACTTGTAAGAATATGGAGGCTCTAAAGTCACCTGCCTACTTCCCTCTCCCCACAATTCTCATAGACAGCCACTTTTGGCTGCCTGTGTTTTTTGTGTCTACTCATGAGGAGGATAGTGTAAAGCATGGCTGTTTTATTATTTCTATATTACATTTTAGAATAATTTGCACATGTTAACTGTGGAATGCACTCCCTTTCAAGCCTCAACTGGTCCCCAATCTCTGTGCATTCAGGAAAGAGTCAAAACACATCTTTTTAACTTGTCTTGTAAAATCATTATTTTGGTCACTACATCTTATAAGGTTGTTCTTAACGTATTCCTTTCTTTTTATTTGATTGTGGTTTTTATGTTCTGAAATTTTTGTAAAATTCCTTAATTTGTTTCAGAAATTCGATTGAAATATAATTAATAAATACAATAGAACTATCTACCCTAATGTGTAAGTTAATAAAGAATTGGTTAAAATATTGTTTGTTTTCAAGTTTCTAAAACCAATAAACCCTCTTCTCAGTGTCCTTTCAGACCGCAGTAGTCTAAGATTTGCAGCTGGGCAACGTGCTATGGACCTTGATGCCAGTGTTCAAAGAACCCTTGAAGATACTTTAGCCACAGAAGCATATGAGCGACGAATAAGGCGTCTCGAGCAGGAAAAACTTGAACTAAGCAGAAAACTTCAAGGTATTGCTAAGAGAAGGATCTTTGATCATTTATTTAAGTTAAATTAACCAATGTAATAATATATTGAATTTGCCACAGTATTAGATTAGTAGGAATAAAATACCACAGTGTATAAGCAAAATTGAAAACATGTTTTTTTATAATACTCCAAAGAGAATTTATGAAATATTTAATCTTACTACTATGACATTTCTAAAACACCTATAAATAATTATATACTCTGTTGTTGCTATGTCTGATCAAGTCACCTCCATCCTATGGTGTCTATGAATGAAAATTTTCCAAAATGTCCTATCTTTGACAGCCCTGTTCAGCACAATTACATACTCTACAAGATGAAAGTGAGCTATGCCTCATCCAGGAACTGCAATTTAAAATGTATTGGAGGAAATGCTAGTCAAATGATCGTAAAGGGGGACAGTCACTTGTGGAAATCTAGAGAAAAGAGATGGGTTTTGAAATATAGTTCTAAAAGAGCAACAGAAGAGATCTTGTGACTGTTGATATGTTGGCATTTCAGTTGTAGGAGCAGCTAAACAAAGGATCAAAAGGGAGAAATGGAAGAACTATTCCTAGGCTTTAAGAGGATTAAAGATTAAGATTGAGTTTGAAAAGAAAGGAGAGACAAAAATGAGTGTATTTCAATTTTGAAATGGAAGAGTTTAAACATAATTTGAGAAGAAAAAGACCCAATTTTGACAGTAGAAAAGGAAGTCTTAAGATTAGATTAATTGATAGAGAAGTTTAAATGAAAGATGGAACTGATGATTGAAAAGAAAGATTTGAGATTTGAAATAAGAAGCAGAGAATTGCCAGTATAAAATGACAGAAGTACTAACTGGATTTTTGCAGAACTAAATGAAGGTAACAAGCAAATCTAGAAAGTGTTAAAGGTTGGAAAAAGTAGGATTTAGGCAAGTGACTGAATGTAAGGATAATTACTCCTTAGCCTGGAAAAAACAGACTTCTCACAAGCAATAGAAAGAGGTGGGAAAGGATGGGAAATAACGTGTAAGTTGTGTCTTAGTGGCTCTGACTTCTAATTATTGAGAAGCCATTTAACTAGACATGTTAACTAGACATGGCATCAAATATTTACAAAAAAAAGAGGAAGGGAGTGAACATTATGTAGGGGTTGTCTGTATAGACATGCCAATGGAAGCTGTCAAAATAGTGGAAGTGATAAACGGATGAAGAAAGACTTGACACAAAACTTAAAGAACAGAAACAAAGACAAGTTAGACATTAACAAAAAACATAATGTGAATCATAATATACAGTCAGCCCTCTACATTCACAGGGGTTAGGGGTGCAGGGCCCTGTGAAAGTGGAAAAACTGTAAATATTGCTACCCTCCCTCCAAACCTTAGCGCTTATCACTGTTGACTCATGTGTACTGGGTTGCTTCTTCCTCCGCCTCTGCCTCTTCCTCCGTCTCTTCCTGCGTGTCCTGCATGGAGCTGGGGTCAGACCAGATGGCCCAGGAGGTCCCTTCTGACTTGCTCTGTTTCTATGTTTCTATGTGTTTGTATCCACTGGTGTAGCTGCAGCAATTGGTTCATGAATTTCTTTTTCTTTTTGCTTGACATACCATATATATCAGTGTATAAGGGGACACTCCTCTCAATTTTTGTTTGGGTATTTTTGGTTTCAAGGGTGATATTATAGGCTAACATATATGGTAATATATGGTAATAACATATGGAAGAAGTGACCAGCAAATATGTTTCAGAAAATACCATAATAATGTGTGGAACAAGAAACAATATTCATATATATTATGTCTAGGCACTTTGTCTGTTATTTCCCACAGTAGGCTGCAAAACTTCTAAATAAATAAATAACCCATTTAATTATTGATGGAAAACTCATGAATAATAAAATCTGAAAAAGTTAATTCCATGAAAGTCAAGGTTTGACTGTATTGATAAAGCAGGAGTTGCTTAAGACGTTTTTGTACAGTTACATAAGTTATAAGAAAATGATGTAATACCATAAGAAAGTGCCAGTGAAGTGATTAGAGCATGGGTCCTCAAACTATGACCTGGGGGCTGGATCTGGCCCTCCATACCCATTTATCCGGTCCGCCATGCCCATTTGGACTCGCTGTGCATGTGCCTGCGCACCTCGCTGCCCACCTTGCCCCATGTGCGGGGAGGCAGCAGTTCGCTCACTCGGAGAAAACAGTCTCCAAGCGAGCAAGCTGCTGCCTCGTGTGTCCACCTCGCGGCGCGTAAACGCCCCCCCCCGCACCTCGCCTCCCCTTACCGCCCACGCCTCGCCTCACCTTGCCTTGACGCGCGCCCCGCCTCAGCATGCGCGCCTGCATGTGCCGCCCTCAGCCCAGCCCGCATGCACTGCTGGCTCCACCTTTCCGACCCATGCCCAGCACTGGCAGCTTTCGACTGGCCCCCTGGTGAAAAAGTTTGAAGACCCCTGGGTTAGTGTTCAACTGGTTCTGCTACCTACTTGACTATGGAACTTACCTGGTGACTTTGGGCTGGTGACTGAGCCCTAGCCCAGTACTGCCTTGAGTAGTCTGCTATGTGGGAATAGGTCTCAAGATGCCAAAACTGTGCTAAAAATATATATTGAGTCTTGGGATGCAGCATCTCACAAGTATGTGATTTGTTTTTTTTAAGAGTCTACACAAACAATCCAGGCCCTGCACTATTCAACTGTAGATGGTCCATTAACAGTAAGCAAAGATACAGAAATTAAAAGCCTAAAAGAAGAAATTGAAAAGCTAAGAAAACAGGTGACTGGTAAGTCATAGCTATTTATTGTTTAATACATCATGTTTGGTGTTTGTTCTACATGTTTAAGAACATGGATAAGGGAATTTTTTTCTTTTCTCATGAAACTAGGACCTTGCGTAATTATTATTATTAAATTACATTCCTATGCCACACATAGCCAATGATCTCTGGGAAGTTCACAACATTTATGTCACCCTTCTAGATATCAGTAAGACCCACCCCTGCTTAACTTCCAAGATTAGGCAGGATGAGGCACTTCGGGCTATACAAAAGCTTATAGATGGATAGATAGGTAGGTAGGTAGGTAGATAGAATGATAACAACATGACAGGCAAAAGAAAGCACTTACACAACACATTATTTGTTGGATTCACTGGTAGACAAAATAGTGATGATGTCTGGCTTCAAAGGGGGTTAGTTCACCACTGACAAATAGCCATAATGGCTAAATCAAACGTCTGAGTTTATGGAGAGTATACCTCTAAACATTGGGGAGCAAACCATCATGATAACTGTTGTCTTTATTGCAACTTCACTGCTAGTGGGCTGTTGGGAACCATCCAGCAGGTCATTGCAGTATCTAAACTAGGTGGTTCTTTTGGTGGGATCCAGGACAGCATGTGTTCTGGTATTTGGAATTGAGCTGTAAGATTGAAGGTTTTTTCAGCAACTCCTTCAGTAGAGTTTTTTATTCTCATTGATTTTTTCCAGAATATGTCTTGACTTTTACTCTAGTTTTTGCTGTGATTGTCTATCTAGACTGCCACTCCTCTGGGGTGGGTGTTTCTCTGTTTGGTTGTCTCAGTAGTCCCATGTGAATCTGTCCCAGCTTATTTCCCTTGCTATAGGGCTCTGCTTACTATTTCACACACTTTTCTTGCTTTTGTAAGTGGATCTCAGATAAAGGGATTCATGAAGGGCTAAGAATTGGTTCCGAGGCCATGGAACAAATGCAGCTTGCTTGGCTTTTCATTGGGCAAGTAAAGAAGGCAGTGGTTCTACTTCAGGCCCACGTTGTCACAATGTGAACCATGTAGGTGAAAAGTTCTTATGAAGCCCAAGCGTTTATTGTAATCAATTCATTTATACCATTGTTTATTATATTTTAATCCTGCCAAAATTAATTTAGTAAGGATGGATTAGAACTGTTAAAAGAATAAAAACTGCATGACTTATTCTGAGTATCAGTTGCTTCTCCAGTCAGAATATTTATTCATGAAATACACACATGCTTGCAACATGCCCAGTTACAAAATACTTCTCATTTACATAGCACCATTACCATTCTCAGCATGCCCACTCTACACTCTCTGTAATCTCTGTAATACATTTTCTCAGTAATATTCTTCTGGACTGGAATATTTTGGCCTATGCATATTTTGTGAGTTTCTCCCATAAGCCGTTTTAGTGGCCAGGTTATCTTGAATAACAGGAGCATGGTGCTGCACAGAAGCACATCTTCCAACTGTGCCTGTCAGCCCCATGATGCATTTAATTATGCAGGCAGCAGAGAGGCTTTTAGGCATTTCAGAAAAGGTTTTTCTGACAACCTTTGCTAATGCAAGGAACATAGCCATAAAAGTTGTGGGCCTGCCAAGCTTTATAAGTGGAGTGTGATATTTATTCACATTTGTAGATATAGAATTAAGCTACTCATTCCCATCATCACAACAACTTTTGCCCTTAGAGTTCCCCTCTTGAGTTAATATTGGCTATTGCTTTTTCAGACATTATGAGTTTGCGATCACAATTCTGATTGTAATCATATGTACTTGCTAGAAACCACATTTTAAATAAACAGTAAATCGACTAAACTCATAGTTTTCTTGGCATTTGAAAGTGAGCCTGTGGTTTGGCTGTATATTCAGGATTAAATTGGAAGATAAGATCATTCTGTTTGACTTTTTAAAAAATCCTTAAAATATAGCTGTTTTTCCCGGACCACTGTTATACAGGAATGTACTTTCTGTCGAAAACAACTGTAGATGGAAAAACTATACTGAATAATTTTGGCATCCCAGCTTTGTTAGGGTATGCATGGAAGAGTTTATATCTTATATGTGTGTGCAAGAGAGTGAATCACATATTCAGGTATGAAAACCTAAGTGAGATTTATGGCTAGTGTACTGTTATGTGGAAAAGTTTAATTGTTCCAGGAAATACTCTTAAACTGGGTTCCAATCAGTGAACAAGTAGAAGAGTTGGTGGTAAAGATGGGATATCTAATAATGAAATAATTTCTTCCAGTTCTTGATTGTTCTAGTTAATCATTGAAATGATTATTTTCAGAGCTGTAAATTACATTGAACTTGGGAAATTATTCTGTATTATGCCTGCATCTTCTGCTTGATTCTGGGGAAGTGGCTTGAAACATCTACAGAATGTAGAATGTGATAAAATGAGATAAACTTTTACAGCTCAATCATATGCATGGTTTGACAGAAGTGCTGCTGTTATGTACCCTCAAGTCAACTCTGACTTACTATGACCCAATGGTTCAAGGCTATGACTTCCTTAATGGGGTCAATCCATCTCATATTCAATCTTCCTTTTTCTCTTCTGCCTTCAACTTTCCCTAGCTTGATTCTCTAGTGAAAGCTCTGACTTGATTTGATCCAGGACCCACTTGTTTGTCAATCAGGGTATTCACAAAGTTCTCCTCTAGCACCATGTTTCAATGCAATCATTTTCAGTGCATTCCTGTCAACTTTCTCCACTGTCCAACTTTCATAGCCACAGATTGTGATTGGGAGAACAATAGTTTGGATGGTCTTGACCTAACCCTGGATTCCCCAGTGAAATGTCCTTACACTTTATTGTCTTTTCTGGTTCCTTCATTGCTGTCCTTCCTAGTCTCACTCTTATTCAGCTTTCTTGGCTGCAGTCTTCCTTTAAGTTGCTTTCTGCTAGCAGTATGTGTTATCTGTATATTTTAATTATTGATGTGTATGTGTCTTCTGCCAATATTCACTCCTTCCTCTGATTCTAATCTAGTTTTCCAATCTGTTCTGAGTACAGATTGAACAGTTAGGGAGATAAAATAGACAATTCTCTGACACTTTTGCCTATAGGAAACAATTCTGTTTCTCTGTATTCTGTTGTAACTGAAACTTCTTGCTCATGATAGAGGTTTACACATCAAGACAATAAGGAGTTAGAACACACCCATCATGGTCTCTGTGCATCACACATATGGGCGCTATGCCTGTGCAGTGCTACATTTAGGAAGATTCCTCTACCCAAGGCTAGAATTTTTGGTGGAAGCCCCACTTCCCTTCCTCATTATATAAATGGACAAGCTCCTGCCATTTTCTTAGTCCAACGGGAAGCCATCGTTTCCCTAAGTGTCCCATTGCTATATAAATAAGTAGGTGAAATAAGAGAATTAAGATTACTACCACAATCTGCTCCTGGTCTTGGTTTGGCAGCAAGAATATAGCTTCACCATCACCTGTCCCCAATTACATAATCTATTTGGTTTCTGCATTGGCCATCTGGTGATGCTCGTATATACCTTTGGCTGAGTGGTTGTTTGAAGTATGTACAGTAAAACCTTAGATTGCAAGTAACTTGATCTGCAAGTATTTTGCAAGATGAGCAAAAAGTTTTTCTAAATTTTAACTTGATAAACTAGCTATGTCTTGCAGTATGAATATCACGTGCACTTTGCCTGCTAAGTGTCACGTCACAACTGAGCACCTCTCTCTCTTGCTGCGGGTGTGAGTACAACATCATCTCCCCCCCTCCCCCCAAGTGTGCCTGCGATCGCACCCACCTCCTCCCAAGGGTGCCTGTGATCACACCTGTTCCCCCCCCCCGAGCGCGCCCGCATCGAAATTTTGTGATTACAAAAAAACAGTTGCAGAATGGATTAACCTTATTTACATTGAACCTTATGGGGAACTTCACTTTGATATACAAGTGCTTTGGATTACAAGCATATTTCTGGAATGAATTATGCTCACAATCCAAGACTTTATTGTAATTGCAATGAACAGATTGTTGGTTTCACAAAATTGTATGAGTCATTCTCCTGCTTCATGTCTTTCCCCAGGCCAAATTTTCCTACAACTTTTGATCCAACTTTGTTTGCTTCTTTTGTGTTCCAGCCACCTAGGATTAACAGCATGTTTTGTTTTGGTGTGTTGAACATCCGCATATAAATTTTTGACTTTTTCTTCTTCAGCATCTGTTTTTGGAGCATAAACTTGGACTATGGTTATGTTGGTTTTCTATTAATGATTTTCTACTAATTCTGACTGATACTCTCGGGATGGATTATAGCCTCTTACTCCTGTGATTTGGCAGAAGACTGTCCTACAAATCCCACCATTGCCCAGGCAGCTACTCTCTGGATAGCCATAGAAGAGGTTGAAATCTCTGCTCCAACCTCAAAAATGCATTCTATGGTCAGAACTGAGATGCCAATCTTATAGTGCCATCCCTCCTCCCTCGTAGTCAGTGTTCTTTCTGCACCAGTTGAGTAAGAAAGGCTAATTTAAAAGCCAGTGCCATATGGTGGTGCCATAGCTTGACTTCCTTGCAAGCAGGTAAAAAAATCAGCTAAGTATTTGCAAGACAAAAGAAATACAGAGGCATCATTCACCTTTGCATTCCTTCCAGCCACAATAAAATGCCTATAATCCTGAGTGTTGGGGGCAGCCACATTGGATAGTCCTGTAATTCATTTAAGCACAAATACAGATGCTATCACTTTGTTATTTTATATATTGTGTTCTTGTATGGGATTTCCTAACTTAAATTTCAATCACATCTTCAATTTAATTTGTATGGCATTATATATTTTCAACTGATTTTATAGCCATATAAAACCAGATTGCAGTAGCAAAAGGAAATTATGTAATCTTCAATTTCAGCAGAGTAATGCATAAAATGCAGATACTTGTTGGTATGTAAAATAAGGAAAATATTGCCCTTGTGGCTACGAAGTTAATAGAATGGAGGAAGAAGTTAGAAAACCCATTTCATTCTCTTGATTTTCAGGACTGTAATTATATTTCTGTTCTCATGTTTTCCTACTGTGAGGCCTTGGAGCAGGGTTCGGTGTAGAATCTTTTAATTTTATGCTTCTGTAAGTTAGAAACAAAATCTTGAGTTGCCCCATGCACTTGGGTATTTTTAACATATAGCCTGATTTTGTGCATATTTACTCGGAAGGAAGTGTTAGTGTTGAATGAAGTCTGCTCTTTATTATGTAATGAACTGACAGCTTTCTACAACTCATCTGTATGGTGTTGTACTTGTTAAGCAACATTATTAGATGTTTCATTACATGTAGAACTACAGTTGTTAACCTAGACTAGAATGGGAAATAGTTCATTACTGCATCATGGGCACTGCATTTCATTTTTAATCTTTGTGACTTTATTGAATGCCTATCGAAGAATACTGTACATTAAAATAAAAGTTATAATGTGGTATATAAATAGTTCTGCTCAGCAGGGGTCTTAGTAAACTTTGACATTTTTCTTTCCCCATCATTTCAAGAAGTGATAGCCTAGCATATGCTTTCAGTTTTTTGGGGTCAAAGGTACAATATTTTCTTATCTAAGTTACATAGGAGAAAACTTTGAGGAATCTTTAATATAGTGGAAAAATGTAAGGGAAGAGTAGACAGAAGAACAAAGTGATCTATGTATGAAAGAGAGATTTGTTCTGGCTCTCTTTAATGGCATAATACATTTCTTGTGCTTGTGACTTCAAGTGAGTTAATAATCCATGGCATCAAGCTAGAAGTGTCATCTAAGTTTTCTAAATTCCAAAATAAGGGTTCAGAATGGTATGGAGTACTGCTAGTATCTAATGGTCTGTAAAATACCTGCCTTTTATAGAGCTGGTCTTTCTGAATTGTAAAAAATGCTAATGCAGGTGTCCTGGTCCAGAAAAGGCTGGTTATGAACTTATGTACATTTGTACATAACAATATAGCTAGAAAATCTGGAGGATCCTGGATTACCTGGGCTGCACAAGCATGCCATTGCCTACCGCCAGATTACTCCAGATTGCCTTCTCTTCCACTGGTTTCAACACACTAGTTGGCAAAGGAGCCAAAATAGGAGCAGTCAGCCAGTTTATAAATGGCAAACCAGAATTCTCTGCTGTTCTGGTTTATTGTTACATGCCTGTGTTTTCTGACATAGCTGACATATGTTTAATGTCAGGGTTTTAATTTTTAATTTGCTTTTCAAAGGATTAACATATTTTAAAAAAAGTTTTCAGGAATATGCTCATTTCACAAATGGTATTAACATTAGAAATAAATAAAGCCATCTCCATATGATCAACAGAACATTATCTGCCAACCCATAACATAACATTTTCCTTCATATTGTTTTAGAAACATGTGCAAACATACAGACTGCAATTTAAGTTGCTAAAACATGTACCTTTACACAGTGCTTTTTTTGTAAAAAGAAAAGGTGCCAGAACTCACATCGCCCCGGCAGTCAGCACACACACCAATCCTAAACCGGAGCAGTCAGGAGCAGCTCTCTCTCACGATCAGATAGCAGATAGAATAGCAGCCTGCAGGCACTATGTTAATGATGTTTGCTGCTAATCTGCTAAGCCAAAATCACTTAGTAAAATCCATTGAAAAAAAGGTGCCGGAACGTGCGTGCGTTCTATGACAAAAAAAGCCCTGCCTTTACATATGATTTAGGTGGTATCCTATATTCCAAAGTGCTGTGTCTGAAAACAGATGTTATCCTATATAACATGTTGTATTTTGTTATGTTATTCCCTAAAGTAAAATAACAATTTTTTAAAATGTCATACATCTGAAATTTCTGACTCCTAAATGACAATCTGCTAAAGACACATGCATGCATGTACGGGCAGACATAATGAGTTAAACAGTTAAGGACACAATCTTGTGGAACTGCTGTTCATTAGGCAGAAGCGAACATTTTCAAAAATCTTATGCTGTGAATTAAACTTAAATTAACTATGCCAAACATTCCATTTACTTGGTATTAAGCTCTTTTGAAACAAATGAAATTTGGGGTGTGGCATCCCTGAACATTTTTGTTCTTTTAGATATTTCAGTATTTATTTTGTCCTGTTGATTTACTTCTGGCTGTTTGTTCTCTTGTGTCCACACATTTGGGTTATTCAAGTACAAGTGTGATGTGTTTTCGTGCTTTGTTTTCCTCTTCCTTTGTCTTTTCCTTTAAAAGGCCAAACAAAAACACTGGCAAAATTGTGCAACCAACTAGCCATTCCAGATACTGAGTAATTTTTACATTGTACAGTGAAATGTTAAGAAATACTGTCATGTAAGGGCCATGCTGTTGATTCTCATAGGTAGCAATTACTTTTTTCACTTCTCATTAATACAGATATTTGGGAATAGGGGTTTCATGAGATCGTTCTAATATAGAGAGCCAGTGTGGTGTAGTGGTTAAGAGCATGGGACTGGGACTCAGACGATCTGGGTTCTAGTCCCCGCTCGGCCATGAGGCCAACTGGGTGACTTTGGGCTAGTCACAGACTCTCAGCTCAACCTACCTCACAGGGTTGTTGTTGTGGGGATAAGATGGAGGAGGAGATGTAAGCTGCCTTGAGCCCTTTGTAGGAAAAAGGCAGGATATAAATTGAAAAATAAATAAATAAATAAATAAAATAGAGAGAGCCAGTGTAGTGTAGTGGTTAAGAGCATGGGACTGGGACTCAGAGGATCTGGGTTCTAGTCCCCACTCAGCCATGGAGCCAACTGGGTGACTTTGGGCCAGTCACAGACTTTCAGCTCAACCTTCCTCACAGGGTTGTTGTTGTGGGGATAAGGTGGAGGAGGAGAATGATGTAAGCTGCCTTGAGCCCTTTGTAGGAAAAAGGCAGGATATAAATCGAAAAATAAATAAATAAAAATAAATAAATACCATGACAAATAACTGGCAATCATTTGGATTGGATTAGAATAATAACAGTGATTCTATATCACTAAAACGTCAACTTTGTTTTCACAGCTTGGTATACTGCTTCTTTATCAATCCCTCTTTATGTTAAACTTAATTATTCAGGTCAGAACTAGGTTACTATGCAAATTAGACAGATAAAAATTATTCAGGTGCCTAACTTTAGTGCTAAAGTTCCATGATTGACCAGTGAAGTGAAGACATGGCTTATCAGAGAGACAGAGTTTTTTATTCTTTTAAATCTAGAACTTCCATCCTTGGAAAGGCACTAAACATATTCTCTGATTATGTTAGTTTTTTCATGAGGTTAGTTCATAGGGTTAGTTCTTTCCTTTAAAACCAAAAACCTTAGTGGGTAAGATGTTGCTTTACGGAAATAATTATCCTCTTGGTTTACTGAACCTTCTGAAATTTAGCTTACTGTGAGGGCGTTGTATAATTTTTAACATGTGACTGCTTTTTTTTAGATTTTCACATTGCCAAGCATATCGTTAGACCCCTTACTTTTTTCCATTTAAAAATCATTCCGCCCTTCCTGAAGAGTTCAAGGCAGGTAACACTCATAAAGAAATAACATTTCAAAAATGCCAACAAAAATAAAGTAGAGGAATAAAACAGGTAAATATTAATATTAAGAATCCAGATCAAAAATATTACCTTTCAAAACTCCATAAACAGAGGACAGAAATTCAAGCAGAATTAGAACATGTTAAAATGGCATGTTGAAACAGTTTATGCTCCCAAAGCTTTCCTAAAAAGGAAGGTATTTGTTATACAACCAAATGTCAATAAAGAAGCAGACATTCAAGCTCCCTTCAGGAAGGTGTTCCACATGTTAAGCATGGCCATTGAGGCCTTCTTTTCTTGGATATTGAGCAATTTTCATGAGAGCCATTGCTGATGCTCTTAGTACTCACCTGGGCTCAAGGGCGGTAGTCCTTCAGATAGCCAAACCCTAAATTTCAAATGATGGCACCCCAAAACAAACTAGAAACCACGGTAGCCATTTCAGTAAGAGAGTAACCTGCTCCCAGTAAGCAGTACTAGTTAGCAACCTAGCTGCTGTTTTCTGGACAAAGAGAGCTTTTGGATATATTTTCAGTGTAGTTTATTTATTTATTTGCTTTATTCACAACTTTTTCACTAAGAATGTTCAAGGCAGCTGTTTTGCATTTACTTTATAGTTCCGAACGTCTATAAGTGACCTTGAACAAACAACAACAAAAGAACAAAAAGCAACAAACTTGCAAGAAATGTAAACAAGCAAATGTGCTAAGTATTGAGGTTAGGACTGGCCAAGGACATGCAGCATTCTGTGACTTCTACAGGTTTAACTCTAGCAATTTTTCACACTAGAGCACTATTTTTTACCTATCAAACAGCAAATTGGGAACTATTCTGTAGTAATCAAGAGGAGGATATACTTAGGTTTTCATATGTAACTAAGTCATATATCCCTTATCAGGGATATATTTACAGAAGGGACAGTTGGAAGAAGAGATGGAGGATGATGGGCCACCTCTTTCTATAGATGTGAAAGCTATTAGTCCACAGTCAACAGTATACATACATGCACATACCTGTTTCCTCCAGACTAGCAATTCACATTCAGGAGGTAGTCCTCAGAGGGCTGGTTAGCCCTGGGTCCTTATGTGGCTAATCAGTATTGCACAGCATTCAGCAATAAGTGCTTTACAGTATTTTACCATGTGGTATTTAGCAATGATTTCCTTTCATAGATTCTGGACATCTAGAGCAGCAACTTGAAGAAGCCAGTTCTGCAAGACGAGATTTAGAAGATGCTGCCAGACAAATCAAAGCTTTTGAGAAGCAAATCAAAGCACTAAAGCAAGAGAGGGATGATCTTAATAAGGTAAAAGGAATATCATCTGTTTTATTATTTAAAAACAACTGTACGTGTCCATTTCACTGTAGAACATTTCAGCTGAGATTAAAATGGTTTTAACTGAGTTATGCAGAAAAATGATTAGGCTTTTATAAACATATCAGCCTGTCTGCATTCTGAGTGCATTTTCTGAAATGGTTATTATTAAAAATATTACAAGTGTTGCCAAATGTATGGTCTTCTGTGATTGATTCCAGATTTTAAACTGTTCCATGGGGTCACTGCTCTTGATATAGAAAATCCTTTTGGAATCAAGTTAGGATGATAGCTATAGTGTAAATCATGAAGAACTATGCCAGAAAAATGATATAATATAAAGTCTGCAAATAGTGTGAAGATAGAGGTACTGGATGAATATGTGTCTATGAATATCTTATGGAAGAACAAGGTTCCAACAATGTTGGAGATACATGCGCTCAACTAAAAATGAATGTGAAAATGTTTTATCCTTACACTTTAAAATAACTTCTATAGTATAATTAAGTAAAACTAGTTTTTAAGAAAATGAAATATTACCACTTGCTTGGAACATATCTTCTGGGGAAAAATATCTATTGTGCTTTTCTTGAATAGAGGGCTACTACATACTGGATCATGTGTTTGGTGATAGGTGAAAGAACACACCAAAGTTGGTTCTTTTGATGATGTCCATTAATAGGAAACAGCATGGTTATCTGATTGAACCAGGTAGCAGGAGATCTTTGACTTGGCACATCCACGGTAGCAGTTTAACAGGGATGATACAAAGCTAGGTTCCTCCCTTTTCCACAAACATACCCTGTCCTGCACAGCAAGCCCTTGGCAGCTAGCAGTAGTAGACAAGACGGAGACTGATATGAACATGGAGGCAAGTGGCTTAAAGAAACATTTGGCAGTGACTATGACTATGCATAATTGATTGAATTAAGATTTGGCTTATGAGTGCTAAAATGTTCATGGGAACTTCTTTGCTTGTTACAAACACTCTTGGATTTTGCATAGTATATCTTGTTTTGGGATAAGAAGTGTACTTCCATTTTTATTTGCACAAATTTTAACAGGACTCTAATATCCATGCAGTAGCAGAATCCTAAAATGAAAGCTTATCTAATCCGTTGTTTTTGACTGCAGGAACTGATGGAGTCTAGTGAAAGATTAAAGATCCAAACCAAAGAGTTGAAAGATGCACACAGCCAGAGGAAACTAGCCATGCAGGAATTCTCTGAGATGAATGAGCGACTTACTGACTTACATTCACAAAAACAGAAACTTACCCGTCAGGTCAGAGATAAGGAAGAAGAGATGGAAGTGGTGATGCAAAAAGTGGAAAGCTTAAGGCAAGAGCTACGCAGAACAGACAGAATGAAAAAAGAAGTAAGATATCTGTGGGATAGTGATTATGGGAAGGAGTCTCAAAATAAAGCTATTTCCTCATCTTTTTAATTGAAAAGTAATAGTAATTGGTACATAACAGTTTGTAATTCTCTACAGGAAGTTTTTGTTTATCTATAAAGTGTTGCATTTTTTAGTCTTATATGCTAGATACTGAACAGTTTTTGAACCTTCCTGTGTACCAGGGTTACATTGCATTCATGCCCTGCTTGTGAGTACCCCTGGATCAGCTGGTTCATCACTGGCTGAACAGAATGCTCAACTAGAAAGACTTTGATCTGACCCAGGATGGCTTTTCTTCTGTTCCTATGTTTTTACCAGCAGGACCCTTCACTAACACACTGGAGAGCTAGAAGTTCTAATAGTAATCCCAACTGAGCAGAAATACTTGTTCTGGCATGGGGCAAGTCAGCAGAGGATGCAGAAGGAATCTGTGCTAATGCTGTCCTGATCTTGAAACAAGTGGATACTGTTCTGGATCTGATAGAGAGGCTAAACAAAGTGTGGGAAACAGGTCTGATAGGAAAATGTCATGGTTCTGTAAGATATGGAAGAAAATCAGAATGTCTGCAGTCCTGTACCTACTTACCTAGGAATAATCATCATTGGGTTCAGTGGGACTTCCTTTGGGTAGACATGTACAGAATTGTGCTATTAGTATACACATCCAAGCACACTTAAGTCCAATTGGGGTCAGTTGAACTTGCTTGCAACTCACTTTGCCTAGAACTGGGGATGCTCATTGCTGTTGACTTCTACCTAAGCATCCAACACAGATTATCAGTGGCTACTAGCCTTGCTGGCTTTGTGCCACCTCTTTACCAGAGGTGGCTTGCCTGGACACACCAGTTGCTGAGGTGCTTGGATAGAAGGGGGTCTTGTACCCATCCTGCCTGAGGGATCCTCTGGACAGCTGGTTTGCCACCATATGTCCAGAGTGTTGGACTAGATGAACCTTTGGTCTGATTCAGCATAGCTTTTCTTATGCCCAAATACTGAAATATTTGAGTTCTTTGTGGATTATTAAAGAAAAACATCCAAAAGAATGTTTTAAACATTCTTTTTGTAGCTGGAAGTACATGCTGAAGCTGCAGCTGCTGAGGCATCCAAGGACAGGAAATTGCGTGAGCGAAGTGAACAGTATTCTAAGCAGCTGGAAAATGAGTTAGAAGGACTAAAGGTTAGTCTTTGTTGACTACACCATTTCAAAATGTAATCATTGAAAAGTCACTGGCTGTTTGTTTGTTTGTTTGTTCGTTCATTCACCTATTTGCATGCTACCTTTAACTGCCAAAGGCCTTCCTAGGTGGCTTACAACTGTATGCCTACCACAGCAACCCATTTTGGGTAACTATCCGTGGTGGATTACTGTGTCATCGAAATCTAGACTGCTTCCCACAGGGTGGCTTCTTTGGGCACATAAAGCACCCTGACAACCCATGGCTTTTTTGACAGATTGTTGAATCCATTATGGATTATTGTGCCTACTGGAAAGTGACAAAGGAAATGCTTGGAAAGAATGATGACAAACTTGCTGCTTTTGGTGATCTCACCACTGCCAGTGGGAGTCACTCCACTGGTAGCCAAGCTGTGCTTTGAGGCAACCATCTCTGACTTGCTTAACTTTTTTAAAAAAGTGCTTGGGTGGCACAAATGTTCATCTTTTGTTGTGTGTGTTCTCCCTCCCTCTCTCCCTCCCTCACACTCACACACACACACACAGACAATTTCAGTTCTTCACAGGTATACTCCTACAACCACCCAAAATTTGGAGCTTTGCCATAGTTTGTTCCACAAACAACCCATTCTGCACAGCTTACTGGCAGGATGGTGTTCCATGTCATGCAAATTCACCCACTGTCAGACAGAAGACAAAGGCATATACAAATCAGTATATTCTTCCCTTTAACACAAACAAATTCCCATTAAAACTTCATTTACAGGCAATTATGGGGGTTGGAGAATTCCAACATATTTTAACAGTTGGTCTCATCTAATGCATATATGCCTAGACATAATTACAGTGAGCTGACTAAATAGTGCATATCTGTGCATCTGGCACAATTTTAATCCAAGTAGGCAAACATGATTTTTCAGAGAAAAATGTCTCCTGAAGCAGACATTTTTAATGTAAGAAAATTTAATAGACTTACACAAATGTTTTGTCTTTTTTCAGTATGAAAAACATTGAAATAACAGGAGATAGCTTAGCGTGTAATCCAACCACACTTTCCTGAGAATAAACCTGAAGAGAGTTGAATACTGCAATATTATTAGCTCTGTAAGGGCTCATAGTACATTTAAAGAATGCATGGCTTAGAACAGTATAGCATATTGGTCCTGGCTCTTATTTTAGTTTGACATTGATTTTGAAACAACTGTAAATAGTGATTTTGATGGAAATATGGTTAATTGCAGTCAGTTGCACTTTCTCATTTTTGCTATATCCAAGGCCATTTTTCTTTTTTTCCTTTTTCTTTAATGTTTATTAAATTTTATGAATCAAACAAACATAAACCCCTTCACAAAACTTGTTTATATATTTGCTCTCCCACCACATATGGAAAAATATACCCACTTTCTGGTTCTATCTCCAACATACATTGAAATGTTCATTATTCATATAATTCAATTTAACCAGAGTTAAGTACCATTTCCAAACTAATTTATAAAAATTCTCTTTAATTCTTATTGACATACATTTTGAAATGCTCTTTGCCCACATACTATTCCATTCTTCAGTACTAATATTTCTTTTTAAATCTGTTTCCCAAGACTCTTTAAGAGGATTATATTTGTGTGTCCCCTCCCCACTTCTAGTAATATGTTGGGAATTTTACTTGTCATTCCTCTCCTTCACCTATTATCTTGTTTTTTATTTTGTGAAATTAGATGGTCATTTTTTCTTTGTGCTTGTACATTTCATGGAAACTAATTCTGAGATGTCCCTTTTTTATAGCAGAAACAAATTGGTCGCTCCCCAGGAGTGAGCAGCACAGAACATCAGCAAGAGATCACCAAATTAAAAGCCGACTTGGATAAGAAAATTGTTTTTTATGAAGAGGAAATATCTAAACGAGAAGTACTACATTCAAATGAAATTAAAAATCTGAAGAAAGAACTGCGTGATGCAGAGAGCCAACAGCTTGCTCTCAAAAAAGAAATCCTCATCTTGAAAGACAAGCTAGAGAAGACAAGGAGAGAAAGGTACGCACAATCCTGTTATTTGGCCTCTGGCTTAAACATCCATGTGCAACACCTGCTGTGCATGGATTTCTCTGCAAGAGTTTAGCGAAACAGGTTACCACAATAAAATAGCTACTCTTGAGACATGCAGTCAGGGTAGTCAGATGGTATACTTTTAATCTAGCCTAAGATTTCAGCCTCTGAAGTATAATTAAACCTGCACACTGAGCAAACATCCTTAGAAACAAGACTGTTAAAATCATTGGGATTTTGGGATAAGCATGATGGACACATGAGTTTTAAGTAATTAAACTTGTAGGTTGACTGAATGTTTTATACTAGGATGACTATAGTTCTGATGGCTCATGTTCATGAGCAGTCTTCACTGTTGGTTTGTTGTTCCATTATTCGATCTTTACTATGATTCTATGAGGGACTTCGTCAATCAATGAGAAGCTTCTGATGCAGCAGTAGAATCCAATTGGCCAGTGGAAATGAACACAGTCTTTGTTGATTCCTTTCCTCCCCACACAATCCCCAGTGCTCCATCCCACATCTCTTTTGGATGGTTGGATACAATGGGGCCGTGGGAGCTTCAGAGAGAGGGAATAAATCAATAGAAGATTGCCCTCCTCCCATTTCTGCCATCCGGAGTATCCTATTGACAGGAGAACTTCACTGAGGGAATGCTCTTGGCAGTGAAAAGGAAGCTGGATCGAACTCTGTACTTTGCTTGTGTTTGGTGTTACCCAGTTCCTGCATTCAGTTTCAGTAAAAAGCATTTGTGTAGTTCTCTGCATTATCATTGATGCCTATTCTTTGTTTCATCTCAGCTTGTTTGAAGGAAAATGGCAGGGGTGGATTGGAGTACCCATCATTCCTTATTATTTAAAGTGTGCACATTTTCAGTAGAATAATGAAAATCTTTCCCTTCTGCTTCTTGCCCATCTCACCACATCATAACCCTCTAGTCTGCTAAATAGCTTTATGGGATAGCTGGATAAGAGGAATCCAGAGAAGGACTCCCCCACACACCCACACACATTTACCATTGGCCAATAGCACAACCTGCTCCACAATGTGAGCATAAAAAAATCACTTGAGAAAATAAGTGGGGATGAGCATTCCACAATTTCCTAAATGAAAAAATACGTTGTTGTTTTTTAAGTTGGAATGAAAGAGTTCATTAAGGAGCTAGCATTGCTTAATCTTGATAGCTTAGGCTCTTTGGTCAAGCTGTATGCTGGACTTACACACACTGGAAAAACGTTGGAGTTGTAAATCTGTTTCCTTGGTTCGTCTTCTAGCTTCCCCCCAACATCCAAGGCCTTGCCTCCTTGTTTTTTTTGATACGAACAAATAATATTGTAGTGTATTAGTGATGCATTTTTTTTCTCTTAGCATATGAACAAACCTTAAGGTACCCCGAGGTTGATCATCTTTCTGTCATCTTTACTTCCTCTTCAGTCTGCCCTTTGGGATCATATATGTTCAGCATGCACTGCCATTTTACAAATTTTGGACTGAGTCTGTACATCAGTCCTCACCTGTTTCGCTACTATGGAAACAGTCAATGAGGATTGCCTGTGTTGTTGCAAGACTGCCCTCCAGGTGGTGCATACCATCAAACTGGTTTATAAGCTGCTAGGTCTGATGGGGGTCCTCTTTCATCATTGTGTCGGACAGATCTAGTCAAAAGTTCTTGTCATTGGCCACTACAGACTAGATGTTCAGGCTGGAGCTGACTGCTTGTTTGGTTGTGCCATTCTATTCACTATTTTGCAGTAGAACACTGAACCACTGATCCCACCAGTAAGTCAGCTTACCGCTAAATTTAGTCTTATGTTTTCTAAATACATTTACCCAGTATTTACCAATATGTATGATGCACAGAGACCACAAAAAAGAAAGACAGGATGCTTACCTTTAACTGTGATTCTTTGAGTGGTCACCTGTGCATTCATACAACCCATTTACTTTGATGTCAGTACTGACACTGAGGTTTCCCTCAGTTCCAAGACAGTAATCAGTAGTTTCCAATTTAGACTTTACACCAGTTCACCACTTGAAGAACTACAGTTACAGTATCTTTTTTTCCCCCAAAGATACAGTATAGCCCAAAGTACTGATGAGAAAGGCAAAAATAGGGAAGGTTGTAATATCTGAGCTGAATATTGAATATTGTTATAAACAGCACCTTTATGTGTTTAGCTTTATCTTGGGAGGCAGTTTCAATATGTTATATGTTACCAGTAAACAGGAGTTAACAATGTTAACAAAGTTTCAGTATCACTGAGCTATGATAGTGCTCTCTCAACTAAAACTGTTGGCTCACCCTTCTGAGGGAACCATATTTCCTACTTCCACATGTCACAAAGAGCTGTTGGAATCTTGTGATGAGAATCACTATTGTTTATATGTACCCAGGATTTTGAAATATCTGCATGGAAATGCATGCAAACTAAACAAAATACAGGATTTTTAAAATTGCCCTGGACAAAAAGCCTCTGCAATTCTTACTCTCTTCAGGTGCTTAATACTATAAATATACAGTTAATATTAGTGTTTTGTGCTGCTTCATTCTGTTTTTGATATCATGATATAATCAAAGTTGATTATTTGTTTGAATACATTAGGGCATGTCCCTTCATTCAAAAGTTAAGCACTTTTCAAAAATGCCAAAATCTTTAGACCATGTTTGCTGTTTCTTATTTAAGAATACCCTTGCTCTTTGGAAAGAAATAGAACAAATAATTCTGTTTGTTAGAAATTTTATGTAACAGCCTTAAATTTTCTGCAGTGAGACAGTGAAAATCAAGACAGTTGGCATGAGTAAGAAATTTGGTATTCAGTAGCTTGAATCTGAAACAGGTTATTATTTAAAAAAATGAGTTGGCAGTTTTTTCATAAAGGCAAATACTATTTGATGACACATCATTGTGTTAACAGACAAATTATTCTCCCCTCATTCTTTGTTTTCACATACAAATATGATTGGTTCTGTTTTATTAATGGAATATTAGGTAATAGTGCTAGAGGAAAAAGGAAGCACCTGTTAGTCTCATGCAGGAGCAAGCTGAATTGCTGAAAAAGGCAGACCAGGCTTCATTATTGAGATTTTGGAAACCATAACACCAATTGTCAGCATTATGTGTTGTTGTAATTAATGTGGTAGAACAGTTTTACTGGCACTACAATTTGTCCATGGGTTTCAAATCTATGCATAACTTTTGAAGGACATTTCCAAGCAAGAAAATAACACAAGTGCTTGCCAATAACTTTATACAACATATATTTCTAGGGGAGAAAGCGGAATAGTTTCTTGCCAGTACAGAACTCCTTTGAAACTATTCCGTTAGATTCCAATATGTCATTCATTCATTTTGTATCCAATCCCTATTACTAAAAAAGTCTCTGGGTGGCTTACAGAGAACAAACAAACAAAAATGCACGCCAATAAGTAATACCTAAATAGGGATTTATAGACCAATCCCTTATATATTATGAGCAATAGTGGTACAGCAGCTGCTACCAGCCTAGCTCCCAATCATTCTGTATAGTTTATTCTTAATCTTCCAGGGTTTTTAACTTTTAAAGAGATTGTTTTAAAGAGGTTGTTTCTGCTGCCACTTCATTTTAGTATTTTAAGTGCCATTATGCTTTTATTGTTTTACTCTTATGTTTAGCCATATTTTTCATATTTTATTTTTGAAAGTTTTGTAGGGCACTAAAAAGTAGAAAGGAAGCTAAATAAACATAGGCAGGAAGCACATGAGGCCAAACCACCATAAAGGATAATTGTGAGAAATAGGAAGCAAAACAATCTGCCAAAGATGCCCTTTATGAAAAGACTATGTGGGCAGAATAAGTTGTCAGACAACACTGATTTTGAATGTTCCTGCACTGTAAGTTACTTTTAAAAGCTTTTACTTTAACAATGGGGCAGGAGTGTCCTTATTTTTCCCTACTTCGTTGTGTTGCAGCTATAGCTCCCTAAAAAACTTATCTGAAATGAGGGCTGTGGAGATTTTCTTCTTTTTTAATCCAATAGGGCATAGTTTTCTGCTGCTACACTTGACTGAAAGAGAAGGACTAAAAATACTAGTATCAAAAAGTGCACTACAGCACTTTCTGTTAGCTTTTTCCTTACTTGGTACCCTCTAGATGCTTTAAAGGTCTGACTCTAATCAACAGTTGTCATGGCCAGTACTGGGATCTATAGTCTAAAATATTAGGAGGCACCAGGTGGGAAAGGCTGTCTTGGGGTTTCAAGTTATTTTTAAAATTGACATTATTTTAGGTTACTTTTCACAGTAGAATCCTCTCACATAAAAACATACAAAAGTGAACAAATAAAATGAGTAAGTACAAAATCAATAAAAATCTAGAAACATGAAGATTATCTATAAAATAGAAATCACCAATAACATTCCAGACTCTGATGTGGGGAAGGTAGCACATAGGTCTTTAAAACTTTCCTACAAACCTGCAATGAAGGGGCCTGATGAGCAATCAATGGAAGCTGATTCCAGAAAGGTGGGGCCACTGCAAAGAAAGCCCTTTTCACTGTACTTTTCACTGTCCTAAACACACTTAGTGGCCAGCATGTGAGATGAACCTCTGCTGAAGACAAGAGAAGGCTTTTTATTGTTATTTTCAATACAATTTTAAATTAACACTTGTATGTATGCAGTTACATATTCCTTTTTTGTTCACAATGGTAGTGGTAAATGTGGGGAAGGATGGTGTAGGGCATAGGTCCTCAAACTATGATCTGGGAGCCAGATCTGGCCCGCCATGCCCATTTGGACAGGCTGCGCGTGCACCCACGCGCGCACCCGCCACCACCCACCTCACCCCACACACGGGGAGGCAGCGAGCAAGCCGCTACCTTGTGCGCCCGCCTTGCGGCGCATATCTGCCCGCGCCTTGCCTCTCCCTGCCGTGCCTCTCCTTGCCTTGCTGTGTGCCCTGCGCTCACACACCACCCCCACTCCGGCCCACGCACACTGCCGGTGCCACCTTTCCGGCCCGCTCCCAGCACCAGCAGCTTTCAACTGGCCTCCTGGTGGAAAAGTTTGAGGACCCCTGGTGTAGGGATTGTGGCAGTTAGGGATTGTGTCTGAATCTGTGCAGATGCTCATGGATCACAACATATCTTATTTTCATTTATTTTGCTGTTCATTAAAAAAACCTACCTTTTTAGCTTACCTGTCATTTAAAAAATAGAAACAAAGAAATGTTTCACATGAGCCATAGTGCCTGCCAGCAGTGATATTTCAAAGAATGCCTAGGACAGTTGTGAGCACTGGTTTAAACCACAATTATATTCTAAGAGAATACTTATATTTGTTAGTAGTGTTTAGATGCTTCGTGATATGCTATTATTTCAAAGTAGCCAGAGAACACCTTCTGTATTTTCCTTTTGTTTTGAAAACAATTCTTGAAAAAGTGACATGAGCTCATAAAGTATATCCAAAACTGGATCTTCTTGCTTTGCCTTATTTTGATATAATATTAATCTTGTTACATGGTTATAATGTAGGATGTGGTTAAGAGTGCTTTAATTCCACTGAGTAGGACTTCTGATGATAAATGTTTCAGGAAAAGGGCTTGAAAAAACATCAAATGTGATCAAACTTTTGATTCCGCTGCATCTCTAAAGTTTGTGATATTGGATTATATGACTTATTTCTGAATAGTCAATCTGAACTATCAAATTAGTTTGACCTTGGCTTTCTTTCTGTAGTATTTTTTTACCAGTTTTTTTTTTTTTTTAAGAACAAACATCTCTATTGCAGTCTTGGCTGAGGCTTTCATAGCTCTAAGGCTATCACCAAAGTGCTTAACATAAAGTTCACATCTTTCCTCGTTGCCTGATATTGAATACCTAATGCAGATGCAAAGTTAGTTCTAGAGAAGCTATGAACGAATCAATCACTACTAGTAAACCAAGACAAACAAGTAACCAAATGCTTAATTAAAGAATCTTGATCTGCTGTCTGAGAAGTTAGCCTTAAAGTCCATGTCTCCCAGATAGCTGGGAGACCCATTATCCATTTCCCTGAAAGTTAATGCTTTAATCTTTTTTGGCTTTTCCCCAGATTGTTCATCATATGCATGGAATCTGTTAGTCAGGGAAAGGGATGGGTGGTGTTAGATTACAGAATTAGAGTTTAAACAGCAGTGATTAATATGTTAGAACAAAGTGTTATGTTTCAAATGATGCCTAGCAACACACAAATTTAGAGCTAAGTCTGATACTGCTGTGCTGTGTTTCAAAGTCTTATTGAAAGAGTAAATGAATTTCAAATTAACATAGGGAAATTCAAACCAGAAATACTCTTCCTGTGTTTCATTATAACTGTTCAAATAGTGTCTTTATAAACATGTCTGGATAAGTTTCAAGAACAGCTATGAATTCTTTGTTAAATTCTATCCCGGAGACATTCTGCAGACATAATTGTAGGGATTCCCTAACATGGTTAAAAAATTGGGAATAGACTGTAAGATTGAGCAGTCTGTCAATCTGACCACCTCTCCCTGTTTCTCTCTCTTTGGCTTAAGCATTTACATTTATCACAGTTAAGGCTAACCAGACATTAGTGGGGTGACAAGCAGACACAAAAGAGATGCCTTTTTTTTTGCTGGGTGCCAGTTATGGAATGCTTTCCTATGATGATCCACTATAATCCTCCTCTGCTTACTATCTGATTGGCATTAAGTCTACTGATTTTAGCAGACTTTCTACTTCTGGCAGTTGCTACTCCAAATGTGTAGTTTATAAGCTATTTATTTTTTGACATCATGTATTGGTTTCAGTCTTGATTACAGTCAAAAGACAGGTTGACAGCTGCTACATATACCCCATATAATATTTTAGCTATTGGCTATATTGAAATGATGATGATGAAGAAATCATAAAATAGTAGAGTTACAAAGAGCGATGAAGGCCACTGGGTCCAACCCCCTGCTGTTGCAGGACACCAGTTTATACCATCCCACTCAGATGGCTATCCAGTTTTGCCTTGAAGGTGGAGAACCAATGATCTCTCGTAAGCAATTGGTTCCACTGTCAAATTGCTCTGACAGTGAAGAAACTTTTCTTGATATCTCATCTGAATCTGGGTTGTTGCAGTTTGAACTGATTATTTCATGTCCTACACTCTGGTATCAGTGAGACAAGATCCTTATCTTCCTCTTATCTTTCCTTGTACTTCCTCATCTAAGTCATTAATAAAGATGTTCAATATAAGCAAGTGTAGAGTAATGTATTTTAGGGTGAAAAATCCTAATTTCAAGTATACACTAATAGGATATGAACTAGCAGTGACTTGAGCAAGAAAGGATCTTGGGGCAGTGGTGGATACCATGATGAAAAGGTCAGCCCAGTACTCAAACTGCTGTGAAGAAGGCAAACTCCATGCTAGGCTTCTTCCTTTATCAGAGGTGACATGCCTACATATACCAGTTGCTGAGGAGCTGAGCTGGAGGAGATCTCGCACCCATCCTGCTTGAGAAATCCTTTGGGCAGCTGGTTTGCCACCATGTGTACAGAGTGCTGGACTAGATTAATCTTTGATCTGATTCAGCGTAGCTTTTCTTATGTTCTTACGCTTCTCCAACTTTTGATCTTGCAGGACTATAGGGGCTTATGTACATGTCTCCTGGTAAAGTGATTTTCTTTGTTGTTGACTGATTTGTTACTGATGCTGACAGCTAGAATTTGTATAGCTCAAATTATTGACTTATATTGATAAAAGAGCATATGAATGTTTCAAATAGTTAAAAAAAAACTAGGCAAGTTTTATTAAGCAAACAGAAATCTTCATGCATGGAAGCTTTGCAGATCCTGGAACCATATATGGCAAATTTTTTTACAGGCTCGGCTTCAGAATTAGAGATGGTTATAAAAACAAATAAGCATATTGAATCAGAAAGTATTGTCCTGAACAAGTAATTTTGGGATTTGTTGAAACTGACTCTTAGCAAGAAGGCAGGAATTGGTATAATCCAGTGAGCTTCAGGCCTACATAATTTCCTGTGGAAATAAATAAGACTAATTGTGCAATTCAGTTTCTTGGATTTCAGTGGAACTATTGTATGCTTAAAGTTCATTTGTTTGCACCAATTTTGTTAATATTCTGATAATTTATAACTTTGAAAGGCCAGTATTTTGGTATTTATATATTATAATAAAATATCTGCTCATTTGGACTCTTAGAATCTCATGTTAAAGAAATATGAATCTGTTTCATGCTAACATGAAGTGCATTGGCTAATTCCAAGGCTAAGTAGATACTGTTCCAGTTCAGTTTATATTACTGTATAGTTCTGTCTCCTAAATTAATGTCAGTCCTAAAGATTCTGCATGAGATCTGTTTAAGGACATGGGTAATGAAGTATTCTCCATATATGCTGATTGGTTATGTTTTCTGTTTTACCTTAGCCAAAGTGAAAGGGAGGAGTTTGAAACAGAGTTCAAGCAAAAATATGAACGAGAGAAGGTTCTGTTAACTGAGGAGAACAAAAAGCTTTCCAGTGAACTTGATAAGGTCAGTGTTGTATGGGTAAAACTAAAATATTGGGCAAAATTGCAAGAATTTGATAATGGAGTCAATTGATGGGATACTACTGGGAGTAAAAACTAAGTTTCACTGCTGATTAAAAATTAATTATATTATTACCATGGGAATTTGGATTAAATGACAATTGTGTAATTCCAGATTGGATTCCATAAAATTACTGAGTAACATAAGTTTAATACATATTTGTATGTTGATTGCTTCAAGAGCTGCAGGGTAGTTTCTCTCTTGTAAGATGCAGAGTTAATGGGATTTACCTGCTAAACTTTATACATCTCTGGGGAAGAATTGATTAATACAAGAGAGGTAGATAAGGCGTAGGATTTTATTAAAAACTGTGAATGGTGAAAGATTAGTTGTAAATAAGGAGACTTTTAGAAGAAATATTAAACAAAATGGAGAAAGTTGAAAATATTTTATATAAAATATTATATAAAATAATGTATCCATCTGATGAAGTGGGCCAAATCTTCAAAAATATATGCCATAATATAATTTACATTAATTTTAAGGCACCACAAGTGGTTGACCAATGGATCTGACTTGCTCTTCTGCAAATGGAAAGAGTCCATCAGTTCATGGAAAAAATGCCATCCAGTGGATGCTTGCATTGGTAGAGTGGGAGAGGATGTGATTTGCACTCATTTTCTCTTCCTGTCTACTCCAGACTATTCCAAAAGATTCCCCAAACCTTGGAAATTTCAAGGGAGTCCAGATGGAAGGAAAAATTAATAAAAATGGCTTCCTATTTCCCCTTTTCCTTGTGGAAGCACCCTGTGAGTAGAATTCCACTCCTGGGAACTCTGGATCCAAGCCTCTTTGTTTTTCCTGCCATATAGCTTCCCCTCCTATAGAGAGCCATGATTCTTAAGATGGAATTTGACAAAGCAATGAAGGAACTGAAACAAAATCAGCAGGATCTGATAATACACAGCTGAATTCAACAAGGAATATATGACTTAGGGTCCTGTGCATTTTAAGACAGGAAAAAATTCTAGCCAAGCTGTAGGGCTTTTTTCTGTTTAAATATGTTTCATTTTTTTCTCTTTTTAAAACAACTATATTTATAGTAATCAAATAAATAGATCAGCAGCATACTGCTTGATTGTAAACAAATTATGTTTTGTTGTTTATCTCCCTCCCCCCATCATAAAAAATAGCCATGTAAGCCCCCCTGGGTCCTTCATAAGAGGGAAGAAAGGCAGGATGTAAATGCAGTGTAACAACAACGGCAACAGCAACAACATCCTGCTTTTTTCCTGAAAGAGACCTGAGGGTTTTTACCAAATCTTTCCTCTCCCCATTTTATCCTCACAACAACTCTATGTGGTAGGTTAAATTAAGAATCAATGACTGCCTCAAAGCCACCCAGTGGGTGTCATATCTAAGTTGGGACTGGAACCCAAATCTCCTAATTCCCTATTCAACACTGTAACCACTAGGACACACTGTCTGTCATGTAAGCTATGAAACCTATCCCTGAAAATGGAACCCATAACCTAAAAGTCAGATACACAGATATGATTAGTGTGTTTGTTTCAAAAATATGGCTAACAAAGACAATTCAAAGAAATATCAGAATAAACAATTACATGAATATCAGTATATTGTTTAGAAACAGAGCAACAGAAGCAAAACTTTTATTGCTGTTGAATTACTGATAGAGAGAAGACAAGGAATACTTCTACTAGGAATGCTACTATTATTAGCCTATCACAGCGTTTGTGTGCCTTGGCTGGAATAAAAAGATGAGAATATTGCAAAAAAACAGGAACAGATAATTAGGACCAAAGAACAATATATAATTTATATAAAACCTAGTAATTAAACTAACTGATATTGAACAAAGAACCAGTATTTAGAAAGGAACCTGTCAGTGTTGCTTTCTGTCCCCACTTAACTTTTTAATTTATTTACAGCAGATGCAGCAATAAATAAATAGAAGGCTAGGGCATAAAAGTAAAGGGGAAGGAAACAAATTGGCTACACTATACCTATGATATAGTAGCAAAGGCACTTTAGGATGGAAAGCTGCAGGAAATACTAAAGAGAAATTGCTTTCACACAAGTTAACAGCATAAAAATAAATGACAATAAAACAAAGGTATTTGTGGCATTTAAAAATTGTCTTGAAAGAGATGTGTATATATAAATGTAATAGGATTAATTGCTGGTCCTCCCCAATTTTTGGATTGTTGTTTGTTTATTTAATGAATTCTGGAAATGCATGATAAGGAGAGAGGAAAGCTGCTTCAGGTCACCAGGCCAGGATCATACCACTGCAAAGATTAATTGTGTCTTTAAAATGTATTTAGCTAACAGCCATGTATGAAAGATTAAGTATGAGTAATCGGCAGTTGGAAGAAGAGATGAGAGACCTTGCTGACAAAAAAGAATCTGTAGCACACTGGGAAGCCCAGATCACTGAGATCATCCAGTGGTGAGAACATTTTTCTTATCTAGGGGTGGGCAGAAGGTAGATGTGGGTCTACTGATTGCTGTGGACAAAGTCTATCTAGACTTTAGCAAAACCTTTGACAAAGTGCCCCACAACATCCTGATTACCAAAAAGCAGGCTCAGTAGTGCAACCATTAGGTGGATCCACAATTGGCTGCAAAAGCAGACTCAAAGAGCGCCCATCAGTGGAACAAATGGGAAGAAGTGACAAGTGGGTTGCCACAGGGTTCTGTCCTGAGACAGGTACTTTCCAACATGTTTATTAATGATTTAGATGAGAAAGCACAAGGAACATAATTCACAAATGACACAAAGTTGAGTGGACTAGCAAATACCCCGGAAGACAAAGAGAAGATACAGGGTGTCCAAGTATTCTAACCTACCACACAGGTGGTAGGTTAGAATACTTGGCAGCCTCCAAAACATCAGTTCCACTATACTCAGCACTAGCCAGGCCTCACCTAGAGTACTGTGTCCAGTTCTGTGGACCTAAGTTGTTAAAAGATGCAGAAAAGCTAGAAAGGGTACAGGGGAGGGCAGTGAGGATGATTCAGGGGCTGGAGGCAAAGCCGTATGAGAACAGAGAGAGAGAACTAGGCATGTTCAGCCTCAAGAAGACTAAGAAGGTGTTATGATAGCTCTACAAGTACCTGAAAGGGTGTCACAAAGAGGAAGGGCAAGACTTCTTGTTCATTCTAGTGTGCAGGACATGGAATAACTGATTTAAGTTAAAAGAAACCACATTTAGATTAGACACCAGGAAGAATTTCCTCTCTGTGAGAACTGTACAGCAATGGAACCTATTATCTGGGGAAGTTGTGGACTCCACTGGAGACATTCAAAAAGTGTCTGGACAGTCATCTGAATGGGATGGTGTAACTTAGTGTCCTGCAATAGTGTGTGTGTGGGGGGGAGGGGGGGTTGGACCCAATTGCCTTCTGGTCCCTTCCAGCTCTAGTATTCTAAGATTCTGTGACCCGTGGGTGGTAAATAATAAATTGGCAAGAATATCTGACTCCCAGTCCTTTAACAGGTACAGCTGCAAAATGTGTCTCTGCATATATACCTAAAATTTCAGTGCTGAAATTAAAAAAAAACTTGATACAGCAAGAATGATTTGTGTGTGAATAGAACTGTGAGACTGTTCAATTCCTACACAGACAGTCCCTGGGTTATGACTGAGTTCTGTTCCTGAGCCAAAGTCATCAGTTCCTCCTCTTTGCAGCAAGGAAATGCTGGAGATATTTCCCTCTTCAGATGGGTGGAGCAGAAAGGTCTACTTTGGAGGCCTCCCTCTCTCTACCCTTTAATTTCCTCTCTTTCTGCGGTGATGCTTTGGCGATGCTTTGGAGATCCCACTTAATGGGATGTCACTTTGCATTTTGGGCTACAAATTTCAGTTTTAGGTTTCCAAATAAAAATCGGTTATCTTTATTTAGCATCCTAAAACTGAAATTTATAATCCAAAATGAAAAGTGACCACCCAGTAACTGTTTCTAATAACCTTTATATCAAACATGCACAGCCTGATTCCTCTGCTTTTACAATGCAATAAGGCACAGCCATGAGTTTAAACTGTTAATGGAAAAAAATACTTTTGTGCTAAAGTATTTTTCCTAGTTTTAAACCATTTGTAAAAAGTAACTTTTGAATGCAAACTGTACCTAAACAATTCTGCAGATAACTTGCAACAATGAATGTTAGCATCAGTCTCATTGTAAAGATGTTTGTGTCCGTTTTATCTGCTTTCAAGGCAGCTGTATAATTTATTTTTTGTATTAAAGTAAAACTGGATAAACATAGTCTTTTTAGGGGAGCTTTGCTGCTAAGTGTTTTCACATCCAGTGTAAGTTTACTGTCCATATTTAGACATAGCTTTTACTTTTGAATATGTTTAGTCCATTTGTGTCGTGCTCTGAAATCCTGGATGTAGTTCAAGATGTGATTCAAACCGGGGTCAGAGTTTCTTTTCTCTGAAAGCCTAATTTTTACAAAAGCAAAATAATACTTCGTATTACTTCAAGTATTTTGTTATGAACTAAGTTCTCCTATTTAGGGGAGAAAGCAAACATGTTTATACAGTTGAACCTCAACTTTCTTGTATTTAACTTTCACAGATTTGATCATTCATGAGTTTCAATAATTAAATGGGATTTAAAAAAAAAAAAAAAGAGGCCAACTAAGGAAAATCATAAGTACCATAGGGAGAAAGGGAGGGTCTCCAAAGTATCCCTTTTTTCCCACTCATCTAGAGAGGGATATCTCTCTGCCATTTCCTTGGTGCAAAGAGGAGGCACTGGTTAGTGAAAGGGAGGTAGGGAAATAACAACATAAGAATGTAAGAAATGAAGAAGAGGAGCTGTGCTGGATCAGATCAAGGTCTGAGTGAGAGACAGAGAGAGCACTAGAACACGCATGATCAACTGAATTAAGAATTAAGGTTTGGTGAGAGGGTAGAGATATTTGCATTTTCCCCACATTTGTGAGAGTCCTGTACCCCAACCCCCATGAATGTTGACAGGCCTGTATATTTGAAGCTCTATATTTGAAGAACCCTCCCTGACTCATTCACTGTTTAGTAGTATGTCAAAATCTGGAACACTGGCTGAACTTTCCCATGACAAACCAGAGTTAGAACGCATAGGAACCAAGTGGGGGTGATTGAGCCATGTGAAGTAGCATGCTGGCCTGTGTACAATAACCCAAGGTTTAAAATTAACAACTGGGTTAACATGACATTCAAATCAAGCCGTTATCTGCATCCTAAAATTGGCAATGACAGCCAGGAACACATCTGAAAATAGGACAAGTGAAACAGGCGTACTATTAATATTTGTGTAAATATTATTAATATTAAAATATTAATATTAAAAACTCAAAAATAAGGCCAAAATAGCAACAATGAAAAAATTCCATGCACAATAACAGATTATTACAGATTATTATTATTATAATTAATGTTATTTCTTCTTCTTCTTTATACTCTCAGTGGCTTTATTTTCTATGTCACCCAATATCCAAAGCTCTCTGGGCAGTAAAAGAATAAGCATGCAGTTTTAAAATCTCACACATTTAAAACAAAGACATTTATCATTTGGACAGCTGGGAACATGTCGGTGCTTACAAGTTATATTTATACCTCCTGAATATCTCAGTTGGTGGGATTTGGGATTTTAAAAAATAATTTGGGTAAGAGAAAATAAAGACAAATGACAAGGAATATAGAGCTTTTACTATACTGAAAAATGTTTCCATGTGCTCTGTGTTCCCTAATGTATATGTGTATGACAAGATTTCTTTGCACTCTTCTACAAATAAACAATTGAACTTTGTTTACTTTGAGGCACATTGGTTCTGCTTAGTGGATTTTGTTATGAAAATCTGCCATCTTAAATGTCAAAATTAGTTTTGTTCCATATACAAACACTTCCTTTTTCAACGATTTTCATTTATTTGTCTTGCATTCAATATTTTAGCATTCAAATTTTGTACCGTTTGCTCTCCAATCGTCCTTTCCTTCCCCTCTCTGATTAGTATCCTAGTGTTGCAGGTAGAAAGAAATTAGAAGAGCAGTTTCACTGTACTGTTAAAGCACTTCCAATATTTTTGATCTTTTGGGGAAACAAAGCATTGGCACAAAATCTCATTCCAAATTCCCATGTTGTAGAGACTGATCCATGCAGATCAGGTACTTAAACTGACAACTTGTGTTATCCAAATTGTTCATCAATCCTTGAGGAACAGTAGAAATCAAGAGGCTAATGCAGCTGGCTGTAAACTTCCTGTTGAGTAACAAGAAAGGAATGAATTAATGCTTAATATAAATGCACTCATTTTTACAGGCAATTATGTTGGTTAGCCCTAAATACATTGTCCAGTATCCAGCTGTGCCCGAACACTAGCACTAATTACATTGGACTTTTATTAGCCAGTACTTGTACATTGCAAGTAGCACTTCCTACAGCCATTGCAGATTTCTTTTATTTCCATCGTTTAAACAAATTCTAGTTATATTGTGGAAGCTTTGGTTTACCTTTGTTTGAACAGAGTTGAATACTACCCTTTGGTTTTAACTGCTTGTTTTTAAAAAATTGCTAACAGTATATCAAAATTCATTGATTTGTACCTGATTCTTCTTACCTTGTCTAACAATTTTTAAATATTATACTGGTAGCATGAGGCAGGTGCATACTGCTCCCACTGCCTACTCAAGGGAATGTACTATGGTGGTCCCAGACTAAATAAGAATGGGAATGACCAAATATCTGCTCTTTATGTCACTCACACTAAACTGGTCTGCAAAGAGTTGTGCTACTGATTGGCCTAAGGAATCCTGGAGTTGGTAGCTGCAGTGCCTGAGCATTTGTGTATAACTTCTCAATAATTATAGTACACAAAGAAAAGTGCTACAGCCTCTCAAGCAAGGATATCAGGAGCTGAACAAGAATGGACACAACACTGGAGCTCTACCTTGTCCTTTGAGAGGAACTATTGCACCCACCATATTTCCACCCAACTACAATATTACTATATTGAAATTTATCTCAAATGTAAATTGAGGTCATGGTGGGTTAGGCATGACTTGCAACTAAACAACAACAAATTGAGTTGGCATGCAAACTATGACAAGTATACAACTTAGTGAGATTTGCCCCCCCCCTCCCATTGGCACCTTTCAAATGAATCTCTACTACTATGGGCACTAGAAACTTAGTTTCTGTTCCTATATAGTGTTGCTCCCACATTTTCCTACTGGATTTTTTCTCCCACAACAACAGCATAAATAGATAGAGATGTATTAGCCACAGGGTTTAAAAATGTAATAGTGTTCAAAGGAGAACACATTTTTCTCAAACAGCAAGATTTTAAAGTCACAGTAGGTCTATTAAACCCCTCTGTTTTGAATAATAGAAAGTTACATATTATGGTCTGTCCAGTACACTTTAAAGATATTTTGTATAAAGTGAATGTAATATTACATTATTGCTAAATTTAGGTAACTATTTGCTAAATAGCAGCTGTTACCTGTGATCAGGACCCAGGCAACACGCAGTATGGTCTCTGAATCCCTGCATACAAAACAGCCATTTGCTTCTGTAACCATCTAAAACAAGTTTCCAGAATTTATGGGTAAAGCATACGTATTTGATGGCTTTGATGTGATCATGTCTCCAGTATTTTATTCCATTTCTTCCACAGCACACTCATTTTGTGACTTGCTGCATGATTTTCATTTATCATCACTGAAATACATTAGACACTGATAGGGGGAAAAAGGTTCACATAATAAGCTTATCACCATGAAAATGGGTTGTTGTTGGGCACTCACTTTTACAAAAATAAAAGCAAAAAATTAAGTTGGCATTTTCAGGGTTACAATTAAGACTGTTTCATGAATTAATACTGGGTCACCCTAAAATGTCTTGCAAACACATGCAATTCATATACTGGCTTTTACTTTATGCTTCAAAGAGTTGAATTAATTAATCAAATCATTGCAATTGTTGTAGAGTCATTTCAAAGTGAAACCAGCACAAAGGAATGGGCCTTCAAAAATGAATTAGGTTGGCCATAAAAACAAGTGGCAGCAACCCAGTGATCATGTTATTCCCTCTCTCACGAATGCATGCAAGCAAGCCAACCTAGAAAGCAAATTTCATCTGATATCTGAACCCAGGATTATGGTTAAAGGTGGCCAAAGAACCCAGAATTCACAAGACAACAACAATACCTCATCTAAATCCAGTTCTGCTTCCTGACATGTTTGGGCACAGTTAAACATAATCCTAGTCAGAGCACAGCTTTCCTCTTCCCAGTTTTATTTGCTTGTTCATGTGAAAGGAGAGTGAATGAACAGCATGCATAACCAAGCAGCACATTCACATCATGACTTGTTAAATCAGGATACCTGGCTTATTCTTGCATGCAAAACTGCATCAATGCAAAATCAGTGTACCATATTGACTTTCAGCCTTGGCTTCATTTTGCAAGTCTGAGTGACCAAGATATTGAGACATCATAGATTAAGAATGCCACATAATCTTGTCTCCTATTATACCTTTAGTTCTGTCTGATTTTATTGCCAACTGACTTACTGGGCAGATTGAGCAAACACTACAAATGATCACATTGTGCCAGTTCTTAATGCCAATGTCTGTCATCACTTACTCAGCATTCATGACCTATTAACATATTGCAGAAACCTTAAGGTTCATACTTTCCTGGAAAAATATTGGACTATTTTTCTCATTATATTTCAATAAAAGAAATTACATGGCCTTTTAAACTTTTAAGATGAATAAGGTTGTATTAAATATGATGGAAAATTATTGTGTTCCATACTTGATGGAATTTGCTCTCTTGTTTACACCTAGATCCTGCTGAAATGAAACCAGCTGTGCAAAACCACAGACCATTATGCCCAGTGGTTTCACATTTAGTAGAGGAGAGCCATTAAAATCAGTTCTTCCTCCACCTTACTTTTTTAATGGGTTTTAGTTCAGCAGCACTCAAGAAAATATTTGGGATGTTCATGGTCACCATCTCAAAAAGTAAATACTATAGAGTCTTTGCTCCAGATTGCAGTATGATTGATATTAAATTAATGTATGAATACATTAACCACCTAGAGAGCTTCTGCTGTTGGGTGGTATAGAAATTAAATATATTTATTCTATTTGATTAAGCTTTCATTGTGGCTTTCCTTGCCCTGCACATTAATTTTGTTGTCACAATAAAAAGTAGCCTTTGTTCTGTCCGAAGTTCTTACCTCTTATTTCATTGCTTGGTTAGGGTGAGTGATGAAAAGGATGCTCGAGGCTACCTTCAAGCCTTAGCCTCCAAAATGACTGAAGAGCTAGAGGCCCTGAGGAATTCCAGTTTGGGTGCAAGAGCAACGGTAAGCAGTTGATTTGCTGTATCATTAAATGTCTGGTTTGTTCTGTGACATCAAATAAATGCTTACGGAGATTAATATCAACTGTTACATCAATTTAGGAGCACTAGGATTTGACATGTTTTTGCTGACTGTGCAGGTTACTTAATGACATGCAAAAATCTGTGAATGCAATATTCAGTGCCTGTTCATGTCCTTAATGGCTACTGCTCGCTATGATACTGATATGTTTGGAAACACTGCAATCCTCTCACTTTCTTTTGGGTTGTAGTAGTCATAACACAGGAGATCCATGACTATTATTTCCTGCATTAAATAATAACAATAGGAGCAACCATGGAAGAGCTCCAGTTTAGCTTGAGACCACACTGTTGGGTTGTGGAAGTTGACGCTTTCTCCCAGCACCATCTTCCCAATGGGAAAGAAGGTCAACTCTAAGCCAATACTTTTTGGGAGTTGACAGAACTCCTTTTGGGAAACTAATACACTAAAATGTAACCAACTCCTACACTTTTTAAAAATATGTCTTTTTAGGACATGCCCTGGAAGATGCGCCGCTTTGCAAAACTGGATATGTCTGCGAGGTTAGAACTACAGTCAGCCCTTGATGCAGAAATACGAGCCAAACAAGCCATTCAAGAGGAGCTAAATAAAGTTAAAGCTTGCAATATTGCAACAGAATGGTAAGATTTGGTGACTCAAATGACGATGGCCATAGGTTGCAGCAGATTTTCTTGGAAACACATCCTGATAAAGCCTGACCTATATTGCCTGTCAAAATTCAACTACAATGATAATTGCAAATTTGGACTAAAAAGCACCAGCTGTCTTTTAATTTGGAGTACTTGAAAAAGTGATCATTATAGCTTTAATAAGAGCGGTAAAGAACATTGCTTGGATTGACATATACATTCTGAAGAATTTTTTTTTTCCGTTGGTCACTTTTATTGAATTAGAAAATGAACTAAGCAAAAGAACTGATTGGAGATAGGTGATTTCTATTAACTTGCCTCCTTCAGCTCAGTTTATTTTCAGGTAATATTAATTGACTTAGAAAAGTGAGCATAGCAGCAGGAGAATTTATCTTTCACACAATAAATTCCACCAGTAAAACTGACATTCAATCTATATTTTGATTGCTAACATACCACAGCATAGGAGACTGATGGCTGTTCTACAATAGAAATTACTCTTCCCCCAAATTTGAATAAAGCATTTTGGTATATATCCAAATTTGTATCAGGGAATTATTAATCTTGATTTAGCAGCATGGTTTTCTGTGCTTATGTATGGTACAACAAATAATGTTCAAAACATGACCAAATAACAACACTTACTAACTAAATCTTTCTCTTCTCTTTGTTTGTATAAAGCAAACTACAGGAATCTGACAAGAAGAATTCTGAGCTACTGTCAGAAATAGAGAGGCTGAAAAAAGAGATAGAACTACTCCAATCAGAAAAGGGTATGGAAATTGGTGTTCAAGTAAACCAAGGCAGAATTGACTCCACAGTGGTGGGTATATCTTATCAAATAAAATGTTCTCTTACAACATGCTGACAGAAACTGGATTCTGTTGTTGTCATAGTTCTTGAATGATAAGATGTACCCACAGCTGTTATAAAAATATAGAAGCACATTTATCTTGTGTTCTCTTGGTGCACTTGAAACATATGCTTTTTTTGTTGTTGTTTTTCAAATCCTGCTGTCTTTTGTTTGTTTGTTTGTTTGAACTTGGTAAGTACATAGCACTTGATTTCTCTTCAATAGCTAGAAATATAGGATACTTCATAAAAGTTTTTATATTCCAACTGCATTCGTCAAAATGACCTTGACAGACCTTACATTGTGTAAACTTAGTCAAAGTCTTTCTTATTCTAATAATCCAATCTTTCACTTGCACTGTAGTAGAGTGGTTTTGTGCTACAACATGGTTCAGAGTTTTGCAATAGTGATATGGTAACATTGATTACACTGACCCGGAGAATAAGTATGAGAACCAAAGTATGTGTTTGTTTGTTTGTAACATTTATATGCTGCCCCATTCACAAAAGCCTCGGGGCGGCTTCCAAAAGTACCACCATTAGAAACCATTAGAAAACCTTTTCCCTATTCAAATTATGTCCTTCTCTACTTCCTTATTCCCTTCGATTCCCCAGTTCACCCCTCAAACCACTTCTATTCCTCTCACCAAAAAAAAAAAAGAAAAAAATCCCTCTATCATTTACTTCTCTTTCTTCTTCACTTCTCTTATTTCTACTTCCTTAATGGCACAGCTTTCTGCCTTTAGAAAGTGTACGCAGTGCCAAGCAAAAATGCTGTCTACAGACATGCAGTTGCTCTGCCTTCTGTGTCTTGGAAAAGGGCATCTATCAAGCTTTCACAAAGCAAGGGCACAAAAATCATGAAAGCAGACTGAAGACTGGGACAGAGCTCTTATTGCTATGAAGGAAACTACCTCTGGAAAATCTGCTGGCCCTCCTTCAGCTGAAAAAAAAAAGCCGCTGAATGCTCAGAGTCAGCTATTCGACCAATAGCTAAGAGCTCTGGGACTTCAAAGGAGCTTCCTAATCGGTCTCAGTCTCCCAAAAAGCAAAAGGAGAAACAGAAGCATCTTGAAACCAGAGATACTGAAAAACAAAAATGGAAGGAGAAGCCAGAAAAGAAACGCAAATGGCACACCCATTCGGCTCACACAGAAGTTCCATACCAGATAGAAATGGAACCAAGTCCTCCAGTTCAAATCACATCAGTACAAATAACTTCGAGTCCGCCTTGGTGAGCCCATCACCAAGGCCATTTCTTTGCTCCTGGGATAGTTCATCTGGCTTGATTTGCCCCAAACCAACACTGCAGATGTCCCTCTCAGCTGGAGAGATTTGAGAGTCTCCAACACAAACTCTGATACCATCTGAATCATTGGTACGGATGATTCAAAACCCTCAGGAGCAAATTCAGCGTCCTCCCATGCCTACACTGTATGGACCGCCATCCACTGAAGCTTCTCCAAGTTTGACACACAGATCTATCTATGTGTTCAAACTGGAGATTCCTTTGTATGGAAAGAGCCAGTATTGGATGCCCCCTCCATTTCAAGGATATGGATCCGGATTTTCATGGAATTACTTCCCACTTTACAAACATCCATACCCATTACCTGCTCCATGTTAGAGACCACAACAGCCTGCAGATCTGCCATTGACATCCCAGGATGAAACTGCTGCCGCCACCACCCATCCAGTGGAAGAAAAATCACTGACTTGTTCTTTTTCCTTGAGCATGGCCTACATGCTGGACATGGATTCTGAGGCTACTGAAAATGTGTCCACTTCACCTGACCTCATGGTGTCAATGCAAAGACCGGGATCGCTTGGAGAAAGCATGGGCCAAGTGACCCTCATGTTAACGTCACTGGGAATCGACATCCAACATCACATTGATCCAAAACAGGACAGGATAACATTTGCAATGTTATTAGAACGAAGGATGCGGTCCCAGTGGCCCTACACTACATCCCCACACTACAGCAAGCAATGACAAAACCGTGGGAGTTACCAGACCATCCACATCCAACATCTCAGTGCCTCAAATACATGTATAAGGTCAAGAAACAAAACATTCCCTTTCTCCTAAGACATCTGCGCTCGAATTCAATGGTCATTGAATCTGCTCAGAGCCATCAGAATCACGAGCACACTGCACTGGCTGTTCAAGAAGGGTAGAAAGTATCTTGCCAAATATACTCAGCAATGGGACTTGGATAGTGGATTTCAACTTATGAGGCTATCATGGCTCGCTACCAATACTTCCTTTGGGAGAAGATGGAATCCCTCTCCATATTTTTACCATACCAGCAAAGGGATTTGGCAAGGGTCTTCATTGGAGAAGCCATGCAATGGTCCAAGCAACAGCTGGCAACAGTGAGACATCATGTTGACTGTGATTCCAGAGCGCTCATTGGTGCAGTAGCTCTCAGATGTCACACCTGGCTATGTGTGAGCAACCTACTGAAGGACACAAGGCAGAGGGTGGAAAACATGTCCTTCGACTGAACCAGCCTCTTACACTCCAAGACTGATGAGAAGTTAGATACCATCCACAAGGTGCAACTAAAAGCTAGATGTATGGGATGGGGACCTACAGGACAACAGAATCCTAAGTGGCCATGGAATCATCAGTTCCAATTTTGTCCCTTCCAACCTACACAACAGCACTACCTCACTGGGAGTTAGTTGTTCTGCTAGAAACCAATTTGATCCTGCCTTACTGACATTCCTTGATACCAGCCTAGCAAGAAAAGACTCGATACCGACAAGTGCCAGTATTGATGGGCAGTGTGAATCAATCCTTCTGTAACTCCACCTTTCCCATTTGGGTATCAACTAAAACATCATTTCCCCATATGGGAATCCATCACATCTGACCAGTGGGTTCTATCCATTATAGAACATGGATATAAGATCAAGTTTGACACTCTGCCTCGTCTTGGAACAGTCCGTTGAACATCACCCTCTGGAGTTCTAGAAGAAGAAATTGAAACACTGCTATGCAAAAGGGCAATCCAGAAGATAGACCACTGAGAGAGACAGCACTGTTTCTACTCGAGATACTTCACCGTACTGAAGAAAGATGGAGGTCTGCGTCCCATCTTAGACCTGCGTGTACCGTTTCATCAAGACCAAGAAATTTATGATGACCACACTGCAAAACATCCTACCATTACTACAAGAGAAGGACTGGTTCATATCTATAGACTTGAAGGATGCTTATTTCCACATAAGCATACACACTACCCATAGGCATTTTCTGAGGTTTTTGGTTGGTACAGATGCATATGAATTCAGCATGCTCCCATTCGGCCTTGCCATGGCACCAAGGATATATTTACTATATGTATGTTACCCATTTGTGTCCATCTAAGTTTATAAGGGGTTTAAGTTTACCCTTATCTAGCAGCAATATGTCAGCATGGAGAGCTAATGAGGCAGTGACAGCTCTGGTCAAGTGCCCCTTGGGGGCGATCGGCTATTCTCAGTTGGCAAGCTCATAAGAAAGCTTGATGCTTTGACCATCCACTTGAACAAGCGTTATAGTCTATTAAGCAGCCCTTTGTCATGTTCTGAGTATTTGTTGAATACAGTGGTATCTCGGCTCACGAACGTCTCAGTTCACAGCCGAATTGGGTCACAAACAGAAATTTCAGAAAAATTTTGCGGGCACAATCACGGTCATGCTCGGGGGTGGGGGAGATGACCGCAATTGTGCTTGGGGGGGAGATGGTCACAATCATGCTCAGGGGTGGGGAGATGGCTGCAGTCTTTGTTAGTTTGTTTCAAATTTTTGTGATTAAAAAAATGGTTATGGAAGGAATTAACCTTATTTACATTGAACCTTACGGGGAAATTTGACTTGGCTCATGACCAATTTGGGTCACGACCAGAGTTGTGGAACGGATTAAGTTCATGAGCCAAGGTACCACTGTAGTTGTTTAGTCTCTCAGGACTCACTTCAGGACTGTTAGAAAGCAAGTGCCCTGTGGATGTCCAGTGTGTGGAGTGATCTCTCAATCATTGTCAACAGTGCTGGAAAGTACACTGGTAGAACATTGTCTGGGTTCAGGTGGAATGTTGTAGCCACCTTTGGAATAAAAGTTGGGTCCATTTGGAGAACTTCCTTTTCTTTATGCAAATTTAGGTATGGAGGATTCACTTGTAGGGCACACAACTCACTCACTCTTCTTGCCGAAGTTATAGCCAGCAAGAAAGAAGTTTCCAAGACAGTAATCTCAAGTATGTGCAAGCCAGTGGTTCAAATGGCAGTTTAGTCAGTGCCTGGAGGACTACAGAAAGGCTCCATGTCAAATCATTCTGGGTGATTGTGCTTTTGGAAAACACTTTGGTGAATAAAGAACTTTTTGCAGAATGATGTCAGTGGCTCTTAATGTGCGAAGGAAAGAAAGCTAGCTCATGACAGAAACAAAGCATGACAGAACCAGAGGTGAAGGCAAGGTAAAGATCAGATACCTGGAAAGAAGCGGTGGGATGGGCAAGGCAGAGTCAGAAACAGATGAAGATACTGCAGGACTAGAGACAGGATACAGTACATGAAGTAGCCACCACAAAGATTTGTGTTGCTGTGACAAAACTGAAAAGTTCAAAGAAGCCTTTTGTAGAGCATTCCAGAGCTCCCAGCTGGGCTGCATAATTATACAGGTTTCAAAAGTTGTAGGTAATAAGCTTCAG